AAAAACTTGGACCAAAATATATAGGGCCTTTTCCAATTAAAAGAATCATAAACCCAGTAACAGTAGAATTAGAATTACCCAAAAATCTCAGGCAAATACACCCAATTTTTCATTGCAGCTTGCTGAAAAGAGAGCATCAGTCACCTTTACGGCCCAAAATCCCTCCCACTTCCAATCATGGTGGTGGGTGAACAACACTTCGAAATAAAGAAAATCCTTGACTCTAGGAGATATCATGGAGCGACTCAGTACCTAGTTGCCTGGAAACACCTCCCTCCCTCACAAAACGAGTGGGTCCATAAACGTCATGTCAGAGCCCCAAAGCTATTAAAGAAGTTTCACACAGAATATCCTAACAAGCCTGACTAACTTTTATGCCTGTTTTGTTTTTTTTTCAGGTGGATCTGTCTTGTTTTTGAGGGGGCAGGATGTCAGAATCCAATTATATTTCATCTCTAGTTATCAATTATAGAAAACCCCATTTCTGCCTTCTATGGATTCTGTCATACGATGAAGGGAAGGGGAGTGAACAAAGGGGCTTTATGGCCCTCACTTCCTTCGGTACACTTCAAAGGAACTGGATGTGTGTATCACCAAAAGGACTAACCATAACAATGGGGCTATTACCTTTCATGTAGTTTTCTCTGAAGTCTCCATCCAGCCGGCAGTAAGGAAAAGGGGGTGGGAGTGTAATGCCTGAGACTGTCGCTGGAAGAAGGGGGTGATTGGGTGGTGCTACTGGGGAACCCCTTAAAACTTTGAATGGGAGAGCTTGGACCCCAAGTCCTGTCTAGAACGCCTGCAACCATTTTCTCTTAATAAAGGATGCCTGTTGGAAGAATTATTCCAAGAGTTCTGTCTTCTTAAGATGCAAAGTGGGGTGGGTCCTTACGCTAAGCAAACTTTTTGTGCAACATGTTTATTGACTGCACAGAGCCCCACAATGCATAAACTCTGATAGTGGGGTGCAATTCACTTCCAAGTTCTGGCAAGCATTCCTAAACCTTCTGGGGACTGGTCAGGGGCTTGGCTCCAGTCACCACCCCCAAACTACATACGCTAACTCAGAATTGGAACAATACCTCAGGGGCTACATTAATTATCAGGACAGACCTCTTACTATTTGCAGAGGCGGCATACAATAATTTGGTACACAGTAGTACTGGATTCACCCCTTTCAAGGTGGCTACGGGACAAGACTTCATTCCCATGCCTGAGCTACCTTTGAATGATCTCACTGTGTCTTATTTAAAAGAATGGGTCTTCCAATTTGTCAAGGACATTTTAAATTTACACAGACATCAGGGAAAGGTTCAATATTTAGTAGCGTGGAAGGATTTTCCCGAATTCCCAAAATGAATGGGTGGATCATGCTAGGCTTCTTAAACAGTTTCATAATCAATATTCTGATAAACCTAAATAAGCTGTCCACCCTAACCCTCTTTTCATCTTCTTTATTGTGTTTTGATTTGTAGGACTAACGTTGCTGTTCAGGGAGGCAGCATATCAGATCCACCCTTCGTATTCTGGTGTCCTGCCATGGTGCTGAGGGGGGAGGGGGGATGGCATGCTTCGGATTTTTCTGCTTCTGCTGTTCACTTGGGAATTAAGGAGGGGGACTATCTTCAGAGATGGGATGGACTTCCCAGCTGGTTTTCACCGTTCCAAGTCTGTCGCGCCTTGAGTGTGACCTGTTACCTGTCTAGCACCTCAGCATTCTCAAAACATCTTCTCGGCATCACATTGGATGCCAGTGGACAGGTCTGGGGAGTTGGGATTGGGAAATCGAAAGAATTGCCTTACGCTTTGCGTGTGACCTTCAGATTCTGCCTGACTTTACTGCATTCAGTTTCTCTCAGTAAAAGTTCTTTTGATCAACTCAATGGATTCAAGAGTCTTGCTTTCCTGAGGGCCCATCTGGCTGACACTTGGACTTGTAGTGGAATCTCCATCTAGAGCAGGGGCTCACAACTTGGCAACTTTAAGACTTGTGGACTTCAACTCTCAGAATTTCTTAGTCAGTTGAAGTCCACAAGTCTTAAAGTTGCCAAGTCTGGAGACTCCGGATCTAGACTGGAGGGAGGCATTAAGAGTAGTCCAACTTTGGATTGTTATGATGTAGGAAGTGGCTCAGGCCCGGCTTCCTTGAAGCCTTATTTTGCCGTTCCCAAGGGAATAAGTCAGAAACTCTTGTAACAGAGGGGACTAACAATAAATCTACTGCTGAGACTCTTCGCAAGCGGCTCTGGTTGCTTTTTCCTTAAGGGTGAATTCATCAAAATTTCATGAGAATTAGAGATTATGTGCAATTGTTGGTGTTGGCAGGAGGGGACGGCACTTTCATATCAATTCCTGTAATCGTATCTAGAGTCTGAATGGGGTGCAAATCCTTCGCTAATCATATTGTGGCTTATTTGGCTTGTGATTTAAAATGTTATGTAGCCCTGGTTAACCAAACTTATTTTATGACCACAGTTAAGCAAATTGGGCCCATGGACCTGCCCAGTCAGAACACTTTCCAAACACATCCTTTTTTTGCTGCCACCTTGCAAAAGTATGCTTAGAAGCATGGCCCATTAAGATCAGAGATGCTCACTCCCGGATAAAAGGCGTGTCCTTTTTAGGCAGTTTAATTAACTCGCTTTCCCCCCATCCTTTATTTTTGCCACTTGGAGCAGGTTTATTTGCATGTTGTTAGTTGTTGGTTCACAGGAACGTTGGGTGTCATTTGAGGGCTGCTGAATGGCAATGACTTGAATATATGAATATATAGCCATGCGTGGTTGGCATCTGATGCTTTGACTTCTGACTGGATCAGATTACCAGTCACAAAAAAAGCCCTCTTGCCATCAGCCCCTCACCCAGGCAAGGATAAAGGCTCTAGGACAGTGGCGGCGAACCTATGGCATGGGTGCCAGAGGTGGTACTCAGAGCCCTCTCTGTGGGCACACGCACCGTCACTCCAGTCCTAGGGCTTCAGCCGGGTTTTATAAAACCTTTCTGCTTTAGGCCTCCGCCATGTGAAAAAAAAAGGTTCAATCAATCAGTCAATTTCAACTTCTCGCGGGGGAAAAAAAAGATCTTGCAAAGTTGGAATTGATTGATTGAACTTTTTACTCCTACCCAGCCTGCTGTTACCACCGCAGCCATGCCCAGCCAATGGGCCACACCCAGCCAATGGGCCACGCCCACCTGGCACCCGATGATGCATAAGTGGATTTTGGGTTGCAGTTTGGGCACTCGGTCTCTAAAAGGTTCGCCATCACTGCTCTAGGACCTGGTTGAACTGGAAGCCCTGCCACCTGCCACCCAAGGAAATGCCAAGCCTGCTTCCAAGTGGCCAAGACAGGCGCTCTTCCCTCAGGCCCAGGCACCTCCCAACTCAGGCCAGCCCAGTTTATTTATTTATTTATCAGACTTATATACCGCTTTAAGTGCAAGCACTCTCTAAGCGGTGTACACCAGTAAGCAATGTATGTATATATTTACATTGCCCCCAACAATCTGGGTCCTCATTTTACCTACCCCGGAAGGATGGAAGGCTGAGTCAACCTTGAGCCGGTGAGATTTGAACCGCTGACCTGCTGAACACAGTCAGCTAAAGTGGCCTGCAGTACTGCACTCTAACTGCTGCCCCCCCCCCCCCGTTGCCTCCTTCCAATCGGTCCTGGTGCCACTGGGTCTCCTGGGACCCCAGCAGCATCTGAGCAGGATGGCGCCAGCTCTTATGCGTTGGGGAAGAGAAGAATGTCCAGCCAGCCATGCTAATGTGGAATGCATGGATCCTGGGCATAAAAAGAACGTTTGACTCAAACCATAATTGTCCATTAGTGCTAGTTCACGTAAGACAATCTGTAGGCTAAATAAATAAGTGCCCATTAGTTACTCGAACTTGTCTGCAGCTGTTTTCTGTGTTGGGTCTTTGGTGCACCGGAGCTCATCTGCTCCAGTTATTTTCGCCTGCCCTTTTCCTCCGTGTTTCTCGGCCGCTTGAAGACGGGTGGACTTCAATTCCCAGAATTCCTACAGGGCTGGCTGGGGAATTCTGGGAGTTGAAGTCCATCCGTCTTCAGCAGCCGAGGTTGAGGAGCGCTGGCTGAGATTCTGTGCTGCCAAGCCAACCTCCTGCCTGAAGAGGGCGCCGGATTGCTGCGGCTGCTGCGTTCCGGGACCTCCGGGACGGAGCCGGCAGGCGTTCCAGGAGAGAGCGGGGCAGGCGGCGCTAGAGCCACTTTGGGCAGACGGTGGGCGGAGAGAAGGGAAGCCGGGGGAGGAGGCGGACAAATCCATCGAACTTCCGGGTACACCTACCGGGAACAGTTCAGAGAAACTGCGATTGCTGACGTGTTCATAGTGCTCCAAATTGAGGAGGCAGCAAATCCCAATTGTTAAGGAAGATTTAATTACGTCTTCCTGCACGTTGCAGAGTAAATTATCCTTGTGGTCCCTTCCAGCCCCACCATGCTCTGATTCCAGGTGGACCTTGTTGGTTCCCAATATCTAAGCAGGGTCAGGCAGAGGTAGGCCACCTTGGCTCTTTTAGGACTCGTGGACTTCAACTCCCAGAATTCCTGAGCCAGCATGACTCAGCTTGGAAACCTCTCCCTTTCCCCCTCAGCGTGGCTGGCTCAGGAATTCTGGGAGTTGAAGTCCACCAGTCATAAAAGAGCCAAGGTGGCCTACATCTGGCCCAGGATATTTCCTGGAAGGGGCACTACGAGGAAATCCCAGAATAAAGCAGGGTCGAAAAGTTGGGCCTGATTTTAGGACCGGGGGGTGCAAAGGCTTCTTTCCCGCCATGTGCTGCCTGGCGGGAGGTCTTCGGCAGAGCAATCACGAATTGCTGCCCTATTTACACTCCCGGCAAATCCCGAGACTTCCCCATTGAGCCTTCTGGCACGGACAACAACAAAAAAAAAATCAGCGAGGAGGCCGGAAGCGACTGCCCAGCGTTCTTCTTTAGGGGCGTGGCCGTCCGGCTCTGCGGCCCTGCGCGGGGGCGGCGCTCTAGGCTTCCATCTTTGTGCGGGCGAGGGGCGGTTGCTAGGCTGCGCGCAGGGCCTGGTAGGCCGCAGTAGCGGCGGGACGGCAGAGCCGTCCGGCGGCCGAGTCGAGCGGCGGGACGTCATGGCGGCTTCGCCTCCCTCGGAGTCGCGTATTTCGGACGGCCCGGGCAGCTGCGTGCTGTGCTGCGGCGAGCTGGAGGTGGTGGCCTTGGGCCGCTGCGAGCACCCCATCTGCTACCGGTGCTCCGTGCGGATGCGGGCGCTCTGCGGGGTCCTGTACTGCGCCGTCTGCCGGGAGGAGCTGGCCCAGGTGAGCGGCGCCCGCCGGGGAGGGGCGGCGGAGAGCGGGACCGCCAGCCGTGGCAGACTACGACTCCCATCGTCCTGGGCGGGGTAGCGCAGAGCGCCGGGGCTGCGCCGCTGCTGTTACCGAGGGCGACGGGGCGGCTGGAGCGGAGGGCCGCCTCCTCTGGCGCGCGGCGCTTCCGCGAGCGGCGGGGCGCCCTGGGGGTGGGGAAACGGCTTCCTCACCCGGCCAAGCGCAGCCGAGCCGGCCGGGCCACGATGGCCCTCCTCTTCCGTGGCGCGCCCGGCCTCCGGCTTGGCCCTCGGGGGAAGGGCCCACGGCTGGGGCGGGCGGGCGGGCGGCGGCCTTTGGCCCCTTGGCGGCAAATCGCGGCCTGCGGCTTGTGAGAGAAGCCAGATGGGATTGCCGCCCGCAATTTTATCTGCGCTGCTGGAAGCGTTTCCTTTTTAAAAGCAGGCTTGGTGCTGTTTAGAAGGGGGTGTTTTTCATTGATTACTGGCGTTCACACCATTAATGGCTGCCCAATTTCTCCCAAAAGAGCTCGGAATGGTAGTTGCCACGATTAAAGAAAAACGCTGTTTTTCTGTGACTAATTGCTGCATTTGGTCTTCGTACTCCTCGGTATCCTGTGGCCAGGCCAAGATAAATTGGATGGTTAGGGCTAATTCCTGTGTCTTTCTCCTTGAACCTGTGTCTTTATCTTGAAAATAAGAATTCAACAGCAATTCAGTTGTGGACATTCTCAAGACCTGCAGCGTGGGAGTTGTACAAACATGCCTTATTTCATTTTTTTAAAATTATAAAATAACTTTTCTTTATCAGATTTTGAGAAATCTGTGGGTATAATTTACCTTGATTTCAGCATAGCGTTTGACTGAATGCCAGTGACACTCTGATTAACCAGGTAGGTAAATATGGCATTGATAGCTTACGTTAGGTGGCTGGAAAGGGCTCTTTCTGATCTGAGTGGAGAGAGGTTTTAAAAGGAGTCAGTCCTGGGACTGACTGGTGCTTTTCCATGTTTGTATTAATTGCCACCCAATTGGTTGAAGAGTGAGGGGAATGCTTGTCAAATTAGCAGATGATACAAAGCTGAATGGGAGAGCCACTACACTAGAAGACAGAAACACAGCCCCAAAGGATCTTGGTAGGTTAGAGATGTGGGCTGAAAACAGCAGTGAAAATTAACAGACACAAAACAAATACTTCACTTACAAAAACAAAATCAAAAGCACAAATATAGCATAGGAAATATTTAATTCATCAGATAAATTTTATTATGGTTGTATAATGACATTTGCTTCTCCAAATAAATACAGAATAATTTCTATTATTCGCCTGTAGTCTATCTTTTCTAAAGCAGCCTTTCTGCTTAGATGTGATAGATTGCTAGGCAAATTGGGAATTGTCCTCTGGTGCATTTCAAGGGTACTGAGGTGGAGGAGGCTGTGCCTTGGCTGTTATTCCAGTCCAACTTTCACTGATCTGATCCTTGTCACTCTCCTGCTCACAAAATTAAGCCTGGCCTTATGAGAATTGGACCTCTGCTAGTGCTCCTTTGAATTTTGTCATCTGAGTTTTAGAGTTGTCCGATTATGCAGGGAATTTTTTTTAATAGTCTCTCTACTCAGTTTGATAATTGCTCAGAGTTTTGAGTATCTAAACGTGGTACATACATCCTCGGGTGTGCTTGAGACCCTGTCTCACCCTCAGTATCAAAAGGTCATCACCCCCAAACAGTTGATTCTGTTAATTAGGGCTGCTGGAATTCATGTATCACCCTGTCTTGTGTCATGCTGAGTCAGTTTCCTGACTTTTGATCCCTCTCTAAACAACTGAGTCTTCTGTACTGAAAAGCTCCTATACAGCCCCTCCTTGCCTGTTGGCATTCAAGGATTTTCAGATCCCAGTCTGTAAAACACGATACACTTGCATATTTTTACTTGAGGTGAGGAAGCCGATCAAAAAGGCTTTTAGCAGGCAGGAGGGACTGCCCCAGGAGGCCTGAGGAGGCCATTTGTTGAGACCGACACTGGGTGTCTCGCCCACAGAGCTTGGGGTGAAGGCACATCTCATGTACGCATTTAACAAATAATACTATAATACGTAATCATATTTTATACTTAATGTATTGTTTATATTACTATATGAATTGTAGAATGATTTCAAGTGAAAGGTGGTATGAAGATATAAGTCAAGTATTTTCGCTTATCAGCTTTTTCGTTTAAATGCAACTTTTTTTAACTTAAAATAGAATTGGTAACAGGGAAAAGAATGGAATAGATAGATCCTTAAAGAGAAAAATCCATGTTATAGAGAAGAATGTTGGGACACTTCCTGTGCATTTCCATTTGTATTTCCTGTGCTTAATTGAGAGGTGGCTGTATCATTATTTTTTTTAAATTGTGGTCTGGTTTTTCCCCCTTTGTGTTTGTAGCACAATATTGTGTGGCTGCTCCTTTTCTGTGTCAACATAGACTGTGGGGATCTTGGGCTTTCCTTGTACTGCGTTTGTTTTGAGAACAGGTCTATCACCATCCATATCACTCTGTTCCCATGACTAGCCGGCAGGTCGACAATAAAGTCCATGCCAATTTCTTCCCACGGACGGGTGGGGTCGGACACCTGTTGTAGCAACCCAGGCTGTTTCCCCACCCAAGGTTTTGTGATTGCACACATGGAACATTCCCGGACATATGTCTTTACGTCCGTTTTCATACCCGGCCAGCAGATTTGACGTCTGAGCAGGTGCAGAGTCTTTAGGAACCCACAATGATCGGCCTGCTTAACATCATGGCCCCGGCGAAGAACCTCCACCCGTAAGGATTGTGGGGCGTAGACCTTATTACCTTTCCATGCCAACCCATCCCTCATGGTTAATATATTAGGATGGCCCACTAACCATGGATTGGTTAGAATTGCGCCTTGCAAGTTCCGTACCAGGTCCTGCATAGGCCGCACAACCGAGACACTTTCCACCGGCTGCTGAGGTGGTATCAGCCTGTACCATCTTCTCCCGCTTACTGTTGTACTGTGGCATCCGTGATAACACATCTGCGAGAAAGTTCCTCCCCCCAGGTACATATTTTAACTGGAACTGGAAGCGCTGGAAATATAACGCCCACCTCATGTGTTTTGGAGCCAGTCGCTGGGGTGTTTGCAAAGCCTCAAGGTTTTTGTGGTCAGTCCACACTTCGAAGGCCTCTTTGGCTCCTTCCAGGAAATGGCACCATGTGGCTAATGCCACCTCACGGCAAATGCCTTCTCCCATATCGGGATTGGTCAAGTTACATGAGGTAAACGCACATGGTTGCAAACTCTCCTGCTCATTTCTCTGTAACAGTACCGCCCCTACTGCTATGTTGCTAGCGTCCGTTTGTACAATAAAGAGATTCTCTGGGTTAGGATGTCGTAGAACTGGCTCCCTTGAAAACAAGGTTTTTAAGGTCTCAAAGGCCTGTTGGCATTTAAGCGACCAAGGTAACGTTTGGTTCGGCTGTGGTTTGCTTCCCGTGGCTTTGGTACGGAATAACTCCATTAACAGCAGGGCCACCGCAGCAAAGGATGGAATGAATTGCCAATAAAAATTTGCGAAGCCAAGAAAGCTCTGCAGTTGGCGACGCGTTCGTGGAGCTTGCCAGTCCAGGACAGCCTGCACTTTTGCTGGGTCCATCTCCACCCCCGCCCCTGATATCCTGTACCCAAGGTAGCCCAACTTGGTTTGGTGGAAGGCACACTTGGACAACTTGACATACAAATGTGCATGCAGGAGCTTGTGCAGAACCTGTTGGACTAACAGCACATGATCTACCTCGTTAGCTGAATAAATGAGGATGTCGTCCAAGTGCATGAGAACCCCTTGATACAAGTGCTCATGCAGTACTTCATTAATCAGCTGCATGAACACTGCAGGAGCCCCCTGCAACCCGAACAGCATCACCCGGTATTGGAAACTCCCTAATGGATTGTTAAATGCGGTCTTCCATTCGTCTCCCTCTTTTATGCATACCCTGTAGTACGCTTCCCGCAAGTCAAGCTTCGTAAAAATCTTTCCTTTGGCTAAATAGGCCAGGAGGTCTTTCATGAGTGGAAGGGGATATAATTTCTCCACACATACCCCATTGAGACCCCGGACGTCTATATAGAGGCGAAGTGTCCCGTCCTTTTTTTCTTTAAACAGGACAGGGGCCGCAACCCACAATCGAGCGGGTTGGATGAAACCCCTCGCCAAGTTCTTATCTATATATCTCCACAACTCAGCCATCTCTTTCGGGGTCATAGAACACATGCGGGGCTTCAGGAGTTTCGCACCTGCCATGATGTCGATGGCACAATCGGTAGAACAATGAGGAGGCAATGCATCGCATTCCTGTTCATTGAACACTTCAGCGAGATCGGTATATTCCGATGGAAAAGCAGCATCCCCCTTCTCCCCATTTACTTGTTCTCACTCTCCTTCCCCATTCGGATCTACTCATGGGGTGGTGGCTGGGGGCCTACACCAATCCAAACTCTCCAGTACCCGGCCTCCCACCAGATCGTCGGACCCCACTTATCCAACCAGGCCAGGCCCAATATGACGGCCTCCGTCATTGAGGGGACCACCACGAAACGAATCACCTCCCAATGTTCTCCCAATTCCATCCGCACTGGTTCTGTAAGGTACGTGGCAGGCACCCCTCCCAGGAGAGCAGCTACAGCTGATCTGCGCTTCTGGGCTGCTCTGCAAAAGCACGGATCAGCTGTAACTGAGGTCCCCGATCCTGGGCTCCTGCACTTCGCCGGAAAACATGCTGCTTGCTAATTTAGCAGAAACGATCAGCGCCGGGCTACAGCTGATCCACGCTTCTGGGTGGCTTAGTAGAAGTGCGGCTCAGCTGTAGCTGCACACGCTGATCCTGGGCTCTGCCCCAGCTCGCTTGCATGAGTGAGAGGGCAGGGGTGCGAATCGGCGTGTGCTCAGAAATGCCGATCTCATCCTCCTGCTCATCTTGCTTGCAGAAACAAAATTCAGAAGACAAGGAAAGGCATCAAAAGCTGTTGATAGATAGAAAGCAAGTGGAAAGCAAGCAAGTGAGCTGGGTAGGAGCATGGAATTGGTGCCGATTTGCACTCCTAATAGGCGTGTGCTCAGAAACGCCGATTCCACGCTCCTGCCCAGCTCGCTTGCTTTCCGCTTGCTTTCTATCAATAGCTTTTGATGCCTTTCCGTGTCTTCTGAATTTTGTTTCTGCAAGCGAGATGAACAGGAGCATGAGATCGTCGTTTCTGAGCACACGCCAATTCGCGCCCCTGCCCTCTTGCTCACTTGGCCACAGTTTGCCCGCTTTGCCTGCTTTGCGCAGCTCCTCCTGCCCCCCCCCCCGTGCCTGCTGTTAACCCTCCCGCCACCATGCAGGGTAAGGTTGATGCCCCCGCCCTTGCCTTCTCCAAGCATTTTTTTACTCACATGCTTTCAGCTGCACTCCCTTTCTCCTTTTGCTTCTCTGCCTTCATTTGCTTCTCTGCCTTCGCCATGTGTTTGTGGGTAAAAAAGAAAAAAAAGTTCCATGAGACTTTCTAACTTCTCTAACTTTGATCCTGGGCTCTCAGTAGGACCCAGGCAACGTGCAGTTCCAGCTGACTTTGCCACAAGCCTGCGCGGCGCGGCTGCCGCTTCACCTCATCCACTTTTACACTTCTTTTTACATTTTTTTTTACAGTGCTGTTCAACCCGTCCTACGTGTACCACCAGCTAAGTGCTCGTGTACCAGTGCTTGAAAAGCCCTGCTCTAGTTCACTGAAAGCAAAAGTTGAATTTCTCCGGGTGCTTGTGTATTAAATAGCTGGGTGAGACATCACTTCCATTCTTCTGAGCCTCTTGAGAGAAATATGTGCTGTGGGCCTGTTCAGTTTTGTTTTTCCACCTCCAACTGTGCAGGATAGATTAGGATGGCATTTATTAGGGATTTGAGTTCCCTATATTCTTCTTCTGACCGATGATCTATCTTGTGAATATTAATTCTGCTATCAGAGGTGCCCCGTGGAGCCTCCTTGTGCTGCAAGCTGGGGCCTGGACATTCTGTGTTCCCAACCTCTTCCCACTTCTCTCTCCACAGGTGGTTTTTGGGAAGAAACTGCCACCCTTTTCAACAATCATACTCAGCCAGTTACAACATGAGAAGAAATATGACATCTATTTTACTGATGGAAAGATTTATGCTCTCTATAGGTAAATGTTCTTTAGCTTATTGTCTTAGCTGACCAGTCAGCAAAGGAACTACTATGATTTTCAGATCAGGTACATTTGAAAATTGTCTGGAGAGTGAATGAAATGAATGAATTTTCCGGGAGACACTCTGGGCCGCACTTGCCAGACAGAACTGTAGCAATTGTTAGTCTGGAAATGATCGAGAAACACATCTCTCCGAGCTCCAATTTGTAAAGTACTCATGCAAGAATTCTGACAAACACTTTTGCTTTCAAATGTGAAATATTTCATGTGTATATGTATATTGAGAATTTCACCTGTACCTGGAGTTATTTACCAGTATGTTTAGGAGTCAGAGAGGCAGCTAACCAAACTGAGAGGAAACTGCTCTTGTACTGTGCAGAAAGAATTATGCAAAATAAATGTACTTTGCCTTTTTATGCAAAACCTTACATTTATGTATTTATTTAATAAAAACCCACAGAGCATAGGAAAGGAAGGGGGGGAAGCACAAAAGTTGCTGTGAAATTAGTGTGCGCAAAGGCAGAGGGAAAGATGCCCCCATGTGAGAACTGGGGTGAGGGGCTGAGGCATCCTGCAGCCTATGGCTGCTGTCCCTCATGTGTACCTTTTCCCCTCCTAGGAAGCTCCTGCAGCACGAATGCCCTCTGTGCTCGGAGTCCCGGACATTTCCTGCTGTTGTGGAGTTGGAGCAGCACATGAGGAAGCAGCACGAGCTCTTTTGCTGCAAGCTCTGCGTGAAGCACCTGAAGGCAAGTGGTGGGGAGGGACACAGATGAAGGGCCTGGGGGGGGGCTCGCATCTTGGGCGATCCGTTTCTACTGAAAATGTGAAGGACGTTCCCTCTTGCGTTCCAGATCTTTACATATGAGCGCAAATGGTATTCACGCAAGGATCTTGCTCGGCATAGAATCCATGGGGATCCTGATGACACATCTCACCGTGGGCACCCCTTGTGTAAATTTTGTGACGAGCGATATTTGGATAATGATGAGTTGCTAAAACACCTGAGGAGAGACCACTATTTCTGCCACTTCTGTGATTCTGATGGAGCTCAAGAATATTACAGGTCTGTGACTCCAGCTGAGCCCTAAAATTGTCGCTAGAGGGTAAGGAAGAAGACTTTGATAAAAATATCCAGATGGCTCAGACAGAGGCCTCCCTAATTCACTGAACTCTAGAAAGGAGAAGGCACCGCATAATCAGTCTTATAAGGTTGCCAATCTCAATAAAAAATAAGATTTAACCTTCCAGTGGAGTTGATTTCCTGGACTGATCAAGTTGGGCTGACAGCAATCACAGTAATTGCTCACACTACATCTTTGACTCTGGAACAGTTTGCAGTATGCCCCTGAGCTGGTCCTGGGTGGGGAAGAGACAACAGTAACTGACAAGAGGAAGGGCTGGGCCCCGCCTTGCCACAGTCAACAAGCTTCATGCTGATAGTTGAGTTGGACCCATTATTTTCCTTCTTCTATTTGCTTGCTCATTATGCTGTTAATCTGACTAATTTTCAATTTTCTCTGGAGAGATTGCAGTTATTTAAAATTTGAAAACTAACAAACAGTGAAGTTTAGAGGAAACAGAATATGCAAAGTGCCACTATTTTATTGTAATGCAAATACTTAAAAATTAATTGAAGAATATAGGTTCACAGAAAAAGAATTTGGATGTTCTTCTAGAATCTGGAACACAGGTTGAATGAGAGACAACAGTGCAGTGCAGCTGTTAAAAAGCAAGCACTATTTTGAGATTCTGTATTAACAGAAACTTAAAATCTAGATAACGGGAAGCAATTGTTCCGCTAAACCCCATTCTCCCTCAATTCTCCCGTGGAATACTGGGCCCGGTCTTGTTATCAAAGTTAATAAACTGAAGAAAGTTCAGAGAAGAGCTTCCTAGAGGTTAGACTGGAGGAACTACGAGGAACAGTTTAAGTTTAAGAAGCTTTATATACAATATGTGTAATCTGTAGATTTAGCAGATCCTGCATACAAGGGAGGTTGGGGTTTGACTACCTGTCTTCTGTTCCTGTGGAAAGGCGAGTATTTTAAGATTTGGGCTGAACATACATCACTGAGGTTGCAGAAACTGGTGCAGTGGAGTAACTTTGGGTTGGCCTCTCTTTCTATCATTGCCTCCATCTGAGAGCAGAAAGGAGCCCACAAAGCACCCGTGCACTGTCTCTCTGTCTTGCAGCGATTATGAGTATCTCCGCGAACACTTCCGGGAGAAGCATTTCCTCTGCGAAGAAGGTCGGTGCAGCACCGAGCAATTCACCCATGCCTTTCGGACCGAAATCGACTACAAAGCACACAAGACGGCTTGTCACAGCAAAAACCGAGCTGAAGCCAGGCAGAATCGGCAGATTGACTTGCAGTTCAACTATGCCCCAAGACACCAGCGGAGAAGCGAGGGTAGGCTGGGGCGGAGGGAGGGCAGGGAGTCTCTGGTGGCTGCTTCCCAGCCAGGTGGAACTGCCTGCTCGGTTCCTTTGGGCACAGCCGGGCATCACTGTTTCCCTGATTTGCCCTTTCATTTACTCTCTCGCCATTTCCTTCAGAACTCTACTTTCTCATAGGACAGAAAAAGTATAGAATATCTGCTCAGATGTTTAAGTGAAAAATGCCCAAAAAAATATTTCAAAATCTTGCCGGTAGTCCTCCACTTATGACCACAGTTGGGACCAGAATTTCCCTCATAAGTCGTTGCGGTCATTAATGGAAACCAATTTTATGACAATTTTTATGGCAGTTGGTAAGTGAATCAACGCTAACCAAATCTTGTAGTTAAGTAAATCCAGCTTCCCCAATGAGTTTTATGCCAGAAATCAGCAAAAAAGGTTGCACTTGGCAGTCGTGCTGCAACTGGATTTAAATGTGAGCTGGTTGCCAAGCGTCCAAACTATAACCCTGTGACTAGGGAGGTGTCCTGTGTGACAGTTGTAAGTACAAGTACAGATTGCAAGTCATTTTTTCCCAAGGCCATCGTAACTTTGAACCACCACTAAACAAATGGTCATAACTTGAGCACTATCTGTAGTATTTCAGAATTTCATGTTTCCAGTCCTTACGGGTTGAAGGATTTGCCTGGTGAAATTGGGGATGCCAGGTTGACAAGCTATTCTGCGCTCCCCTCTGACTAGAATAAAAATGTTAACTAACTTGACTTGCGTATAAATCAAGCCTAGAATTCAGCTTTCTTTTTTTAGATTGTTTTAGTGTTGTGTTTATGTTCCAGGTGTTGTCAGTGGTGAAGACTATGAGGAAGTTGATAGGTATAACAGGCAGGTGAGAGGAGGCAGGTCAGGAGCCCGAGGTGGACAGCAGAACAGGAGAGGCAGCTGGCGATACAAGAGGTAAGAGCAGCGGTTGTGGCTTCCATTGAGGTGGGCAGGAACTTGGAATGCAAATTGAGAAGTAGCCTTTTGGCTTCAGGATGCAGTCAAAACCAGGCTGGGACCTGTGCAGAGGCCAGCCCAGAGGAAACTTGTAGTAAAAGCTTCTCACTCCTCATGGCATAATCCACTTTCTCCTTTATTTTGCCTTGTGTTCTATAAATTAACTAACGGCAATGCTTGCTTTAATGGAAAACCTACTTTAAATAATAGTTTCCTATTCCAGTTTAGAATAGAATAGAGCTGGAAAGGATCTGGTCTTCTAGTCCAGCCCTTGCTCAAGCAGGAGAACCTATATCATCTCAGACAAGATTGTCTAGCCTCTTCTTAAAAATCTCCAGTGATGGAGCACCCACGATTTCTGGAGGCAAGCTGTTCCACTGGTTAATTGTCCTCACTGTTAGGAACTTTCTCCTTAATTCCAGATTGCTTCTCTCTTTGGTCAATTTCCAACCATTGTTTATTGTCCTGCTCTCTGGTGCTTTGGTGAATAAAGTGACCCCTTCTTTGTGGTAGCCCCTCAAATATTGGAACACTGCTATCATATCTCCCCTATTTCTTCTTTTCTTTAGACTACTCAAACCCAAGTCCTGCAGCCGTTCTTCATATATTTTAGTCTCCAGGCCTTGGATCATCTTAGTTGCTCTTCTCTGAATTTTTTCCAAACTCTTAGCATCTTTTTTGTGGTATGGTGACCAGAATTGGTTGCAGTATTCCAGGTGTGGTCTTACTAGGGTTTTATAAAGCGGTACTAATACTTCATGTGATCTTGATTCTATGCCTCTGTGTATACAACCCAGGCCAGTTTCTGGCCATCCTTTGGAAAGAGGCTTCTTCATGGCAGCCCCTGAAATATTGGAACACTACTATCATGTAACCCCTGGTCCTTTTTTCCTCTAGACCAGTGATGGCGAACCTTTTAGAGACCGAGTGTGCAAACTGCAACCCAAACCCCACTTATTTATCGCTGGGTGCCAGGTGGGCGTGGGTGTGGCAGTCATGGCAGATTGGGTGCCAGGTGTGGCGTGATCACCTCAATGTTGCTCATGGGTAGGGATGCCTGTGGGGGCGGGCAGGTTTGGGGGCGATCCAGGGAGTCTCTGGCAGGTGAGGCGGTGGGTAGGAGGCTCGTCCTGCAGGGTGAGGTGAGGCAAGGTGAGGCAGGGTGGAGGTGCCATTGTCACAGGGCAAGGTGAGGCAGGGGCCGGGGCGGCCGCTGCCTGACGTCATCGCCCCCTGCACACAGGCCAGCGAGTGCATGGGTGCTGGGATGCATCCAGCCATGTGGGACCTCGGCGAGTTAGTGGGTGGCTGGTTGAAGAGGGACAGTTGCCATCTCCGGGGCATGCTGGGAGTGCCCACACAGAGGGCTCTGAGTGCCACCTATGGCACCTCTGCCATAGGTTCGCCATCACTGCTCTAGACTATCCATACTCATTTCCTACAACTGTTCTTCATGTTTTAGTCTCCAGCCCCTTAATCATCTTAGTTGCTTCTCTCTGCACTCTTTCCAAAGTCTCAGTATCTTTTTTATAATGAGTTGACCAAAACTGGACACAGTATTCCAGATGTGGTCTTACTAAAATTTGACTACTAATACTCACGTGATTTTGATTCTATCCCTCTGTTAATGCAGCCTAGGACTGTATTTACTTTTCTGGCTGTTGCCATACACTGCTGGCTCATATTTAAGCGATTGTCCACTGAGACCAAGATCCTTCTCACAATTACTGCTTTTGAGCCATATTTCTGTAACTTTTACATTTGGTTTTTCCTGCCTAACTGTACAACCTTACTTTTCTCTCCACTGAATTTCCTTTTGTTAGATAGAGCCCAGTGTTCAAGTCTGTCAAGCTCCTCCTCGTCTTCTGGGGTATTGGCTATTCCTGCCAGTTTAGTTATCTGCAGATTTGATGAGTTCTCCTTCTGTTCCCTCCATCTAAATCATTTGTGAAGCTATTGAAGAGTCCTGGGCCTAAGATGGAACCTACATTTCTTCTTCCCTGCATCAGTCATGCAGACTCGGAAAGCAGGTTTCAAGAATTGTCAGACCAAATAACCAAGAGTATCCAATGAGTTCAAAGCACAGAAGACTTTTATTATTGCTTTGTATACACAAGAACGTAGTCAACTAACGGTCAAGGCTAAACTGGTGCTAGATAAGGGTTGATGGAATTCTTTTCTTGATTTGAAAAATTCTGCAGAGAAGAAGAAGACCGAGATGTTGCTGCAGCTGTTCGGGCATCAGTGGCTGCCAAAAGGCAAGAAGAGAAAAAACGGGTGGAGGACAAAGAGGACAACTGTCGCGCCAAGAAGGAAGATGTCAAAGATCCTGACCCAACAATCTCTAAGCGAGGGGTGAAGCCTTCATCCGAAGAACCAGGTGAGCCCTCGCTCTGTTCTGAAAAACTGTGGTGGGCTTTGTCTCGGGCTCTGGGCTCCTTCGTGTTGGTGAGATGATGGCCTTGCTGTCTCTTGTTGGACTTCTCAATGGCCCTTTTGATTAGATGGTGTTCTCTGTTTTTCCTAAGTTCCCAAGGAAGTGGTTCCCAAGGCTGCCTTAAGGCAAGATGATTTTCCTGCCATTGGCTCGCCAACCGTGAATTCTGCGCAGAGGTGAGTCTTTGGTTGTATGGAGAAATAAACTGGCCAAAAGATCAGGGATTCTCCCCACAAGACGTGAGGAAGGCCTTGCAGAAAGAGGTCAGACTCCAGTCTTCAGAGCATAAGGGCTAAGGCCATTTCAAAAAACCTCTCTCTTCTCTAGATGTGATGGTCCTTTACTAAGTCTGCACAGACACCCCTGTTTCTCCCTCCAAACCTGGATCCATTTCCTTCTGCCAGCTTGAAGTTTCAGGTCTGAATTGTGAGGCAGAGTGTGCTCCCGGCTTCCTATAGGAAGCCTCCCTCCAGCCTTCGAATCTAATGCCAGCGATGGTGAGGCTGCTTCTGCTTTCTCCCACGGCTGCTGTGGGAAAGAACTCAGCCTCTCCTGTTTTCAGGACTGCCCCCAGTGACTAAAATTGCTCCCCTCTGGAAGTCCTCTGGACTTTTTTTAAGTCACATGGAGTGTTTGCCTTGAAACATTCACTAATCATCAGTGCACTTGGGTCTAGACTGCCCTTCCGGTCTCCACCCTCAGAGTCTCGTCTGGCTTCAGCTGGGCTTGGAAAGAGTCTCTCACCCCCACCCACAAATACTGTCTGGAATCACAGATGGGCATCTTTGCCTCAAGGTTGCAGAGGGAGGGGTTGTCCTACCTAAGTGGTTTCTTTTTCAGCTCATCTCAGTTGGCGCCAGTAAAACTTGATGAAGAGGACTTTCCCAGGCTCTCCTTCTCCTCTGCTCCGCCCGTGGTCTCTGCCGCTCTGCCCTTGTCGTACATGGCTACAGCTCAAAAGACAGGCTTTCAAGAGGAGGACTTCCCCGCCCTGGTCTCCAAAGTCCAACCAAGCAGCAAGATGGTGTCGACCCTTGCCTCGGCCTGGAGCGGTGGCTCCAGCAAGAACATGGCCCGAGCCGGGTTGGCCACAGCCGGCCAGCCGGCCAGAAAAGGGGCCCCTCCCGGCAGCAGTAAAGCAAGCAAAAAGAGCAAGGTAATGCTCCCTGGCAACTCTCAGGATAGCAGCGGCAGTGTACCCACTCAGGAAATCCGCAGCGCACCAACAATGGTGGATGTGTCCTCACTGCTGGCAGCCTCTAACTCTCAGACTTTTGCCAAAGTGGGTAAGAAGAAGAAAGTTGGGACTGAGAAGCTGAGAACAGCCTCGTCGCCCGGGTTGCAGGAGATGCCAGCCGCCCTCCACTCTCTCGAGAAGGTAGAAGATGCTGAGCAGCCCTCGGCCATCGCTGCCGGTCCTAACCTGCCCAGCACCTCTGCCGCTCTGGTGAACGGCCACGCAGAAAAGTCCACGCTGCCGGGCAGTGCTTCCAAAGAGCCCCCCGGCCTTAGGAAGCCACACGGGGGTGGCCAGTGCCTGTTGCCTCAGGAAGACTTTCCAGCCCTTGGGAATGCCGGGCCATCTCGGATGCCTCCACCCCCAGGTAAGGGCTCCTCCTCAATCCTGGGCTTGGGGAAAGGCCTGGCGGAGCTGCAGGAAAGCAACATGGGGCAGTTGAATTTGGCTTTGGGAAGCAAGCTGTGCTGAGGTTTCTGGCTGCACCGATGGGTAGCCAGATATTGGAGCCTTCCCTCAGCCCTTCGTGGAGAGCTGGTTTAGGCATGGAGTAGACACTGAGCAGCAGCAGGCTCAGGCCTTGAGCCTTCCCTCCGGGCCATCTTCTCCAGATTACCTGCCTGGAACCCTTTTAGCAGTGACTGCCCTGAGATTCTGTCCTCTGGCTCAGATGTTCTCCACCGCTGAGTTGCATTTGCTTCTTGCACCTCGTAGCTTTATAACTTCTTTATTGAACTGGGATTAGGATTAGAGGGTCGGGATGCGACAAGGGCGAGAATGGTGAAGCAGCTTGTGGGGGCCATCCGTGCCTGCTCTAACTGCTTTCTAACTTTCTCCCTCCTGTTTTTTAGGCTTCAATTCTGTGGTGCTACTTAATGGCCCCCCACCTCCTCCTGGGCTGTCGGTGCCTTTTAGTAAACCACCCCCTGGCTTCACTCCTATTCCACCCACCAGTATTTCAGAAAATGCCTCGGCTCCTGTGAAAGAGTAAGTGTGAGCGTCGCCCTTCTGGGTCTCCCCAGCATCTGAGCCTTGGGGGGCTGGGGAGATGCTCTCCCCAGAAGGATCAGTCTGGGGTTTTCTGCTCAAGGTTGTAGAGATTATCTTTATGGCAGTCCATTTTATATTTATACTAGACAGCTTAAACAGCTGCTGCTAATATTTTGCAGCCTCTCTGTTCTATTTGTTAACTACTGCTTAGATTTACAAAGTCTGTAAATGTACTGAAAAGATTTGACTCTCGAGCTCCCGGGATCCTCCAGCCCAGCCCCCCTTTCCCGAGGGGGCGCCCAGCTGCGCTACCTCCTCCTTGAGACTGCTGTGCTCACTCTCCTTGACCAGGTTGCTCATAGTGGCAAAGTGCGTGGGTCAGAGGGAGGCATCCTCAGCAAGAGAAGCCAGGATGGAAGACCACTAGGAGAAGCCAGGAGGAGGGGGCAAGGGGATGGCGAAAGGGCAGCAGGACTGCTGGTGGCCAAGTGCTAAGGAAGGACTTCCCTCAGACCCTCTCCTCCCTCCCTCCCTCCCTCCCTCCCTTCCGTCCATATTAACAGAAACTTAAAATTCCTGGACTGAAGCCGCACAGTCTTAAGAGCAGAGTGGTGGGAAGATATTTGCGATGAGGGAGGAAGAAAAGCAGGCAAGAAACGCAGCTGGGGAGGGGCCGCCCTCCGTGAGGAATGAGGAAAGGCACCCTCCCCTGGAGGAGACCAGCAAATGGCCCTTGCCCACTTCAGACACGTAGCTCAGTGGGCTCCAGAAGAGGGGGTGCCGCGAGTGGCATGAGAGTCCACCTTGCCTATGCGACAACGCCCAGCCCCCAGCCAGTGGGTGAGGCAAAGCGGGTGAGAAGCCGAACCTGCCTGGGCGCACAGGAGGTGGCAAGCGCGTGAGGCCTGATGTCCCGGGTGACCATTTTGCCCTGCAGGCTGACTGCCTTCTGAGCGCTTGCCTTTCACCCAGGACGCCAGGCCCCGCACGCTTGCTGCCCCTGTGCGCTCACGCAGGTTCGGCTTCTCACCAGCTTCACCTCACCCGGCCCGGCCTCTCTGTGTTGTGAGGAGAGCGTGTCGCTGCCTGCTGAAACCGGGCAGGCTGGGGCTGGACAGCGTTGCACAGGTAGTGTGGACCCTCACTCCGCTTGCGGTGCCCCCTCCTCTGGAGTCCAGGGGTGTGTGAAGTGAGCGAGGGCCATTTGCTGGTCACCTCCAGGCGGTGCCTTTCCTCATTCCTCACAGAGAGTGACCCCTCCCCAGCTGCGTTTCTTGCCTGTTTTGTGCTGCCACCTGTGCGCCCCTCGCTGTCTCTAGGGCAGCCCTGCGGATCTAAGATTGACCACGTTCCAGCACCCATGGCTGCCATGAAGTTGTAGATCGGCTCCTGGTCGGTCGGGACCAAGGCAGCAGGGGCCAGTCCCTCACTGTCCTTAGGGCGGCCCCACATCTAGCCACATCACAGGCCGGATGATGCCTGGGTTAGAGGTATCTGTGACAACCGGGGGGATATTGCAGAGAAGGAGCCCTGAGCCCCCCTGGAAGGAAGGCCTATGGGAGCAGGAGCACTGGCTGTGTGGCTCTTTGGACAGGCATTGGATTTTGGATTCTGTCCCTGGGCAAATGGTGACCTCTTCCACCTCTAGGAATTCTTGATTCTGGGCTCTGGCATCCGGTTTAGGAATTTCTGGCTGGGGATATTCTTCCCAGCTTCAGGGAACAACAATGATAGATCACTTGGTGCTTCTCTGTACAGAGAACTATGTTTTTCTTTTCTGAAAACAGGCCGAGACTCTGTCAGGGACCCTATCTGATCCTGGACAACTTCCAGCAACGGAACATCCAGCTAATTCAGTCAATCAGAGAATTTCTTCAAGAAGATGAATCTCAGTTCAACAAATTTAAGACGTACTCGGGGCAGTTCAGGCAGGTGAGTAGCCAGGAAATTAATTTTCCAATAATTTCATGGCGCAGCTGACGCTTGTGAATCTGTCTTTAGATGAACATCTCTTTGTGAGAAAGTATTCGTTATTGTTGGTAGAAGTGAGACTGACATGGTGATTAACCAGCCAGCAGTCTGATTAAACAGCATATCTGGAATATTGTTTTTCAAACCAGTTTAAACCTCGTATCCAATTCTGCAGGTCATGGATTCTTCTGACGTAGGTGTGTGCCATCATCTTATCTCTCTTCGATTCACCTTCTGAAATTTTGTTGGGCTTTCATCTTGGCCAAGTTGGATGCACTACTCTCTGCAGTTTAGGGGAAGCAGTATAAAAACATCCCTTTGCAACAGTGCTTCTGCCCATGCGGAGAGGGCTCCGTGGAATCATTAAGCTATGTCCTCTCTCTGTAGGGAATCGGAGAAGGGGTATATTGATCCCATTTTAAAGAACTGCCCTGGCAGAGGCTGCATAGTCTCTCTCTCAGTCACGGCTTCTATTTGACCGGGACTGATGGGTCTTTCCAGATGGCTCGAGTTGGTATATCCGCCCTATCTACAATTGACATTTAGCACAAATATTGGTGATTGTCATTGCTATTTGTACCACAGTCGCCTTAATAGTATAAAGTATAACTTTATTGTTTTATTAATAATTACAGGTCTGTGCATTTTACTGCTGTCCTTTTTGGCCCAAAGGCCCATAATAAAGGTTTGATTTGAGCCAGAGTGATCGTCATGTCTGAGAGCTGATGGAGGGGAATAGGGAAAGTGTTGGACTAAGAACAGAGACAACCCCACTCTAAGCTATCCTCAGCCACGGAAGCTCAAAGTTCAGCACAAAGACAATCCAGGTTCTGGAGCAAATTCAGGAATGTTTGTTGTCTAGGTCAGATTGTCTTAATAAAATGAAGAGGATATTGACTCTCGTGCCCTGTTTCCAGGATAGTCTAAATTAGCAAATTTAGAGGAACTGAGGCAAACTCTTGTGAACTTTAAAGCAATTGCTGGGCCCAAGGATTCCTTCATTTGTGCTTCTCTCTCAGTCTTGCCTCATTCTCTACAATGGGAAGGAAGACCTTGCAAATCACGTGACCTTTGCTGATAGCAGAAGTGACGGCTTCATTGCTCACACTTTTCTGCCTTTTGCCCTCCCTGCCAAGATCAGAGAAAGGCCTGATTGCTTTGAAAAAGCCAGCCTGGTGCCCTTTTCAGGGAAAGAATTGGTGAGCAATAGGGGACTGGTGTGACTGTTCTCTTTGACACTCCTCTTTTTCTTTTCCATACCTGTCTTATCTTTGAAAATTGGAGTTTCAGAGCTCTCTCTAAGAAGCCCCAATCCAGTAGCATAAATGTGCACAAACTGACTGATGGATTTATGTGCCATCACGTCTGTGTCAGCTGTTATCAAGTACATTGATAGATGTTTTCCATGACGGTCTGTCTCTAAAGTGGTCCTTCTATCACTACTGAAGCTGAGTCCCTCCCCCACAGTCCTAGTTATCCCCTTCCCCTTTTCCCAGCATGGTAGACTTCTCACATGATGCCTCCGAGGTAGAATAATTTGAGCCTAGTCAGTTGTGCCTCAGGTGAGAACTCTGAATAGTTTGTTCAGTGGTCCATTCGTTTATTTTCATGGCTGTCGCAGGAGTTTTCTCCAAGCCCAAAGTTTGAATATACCAGTATTCTTTCTATCCAGCTTCTTCCGAGTCCGGCACAAGCTCATGTCGGGTCTCAAAATAGAGATATTGTAAGGACCCACCCCACTTAAATCTTAAGAAGACAGAACTCTTGGAATCTTTCTTCCAACAGGCATCTTTATTAAGGGAAACTGGTTGCAGGCATTCTAGACAGGACTTGGGGTCCAAGTTCTCCCATTCAAGGTTTTAAGGGCTTCCACAGTAGCCCCACCCCATCACCCCCTTCTTCCAGTGACAGTCCCAGGCATTAAATTCCCACCCCCTTTTTCTCACTGCCGACAGGAGTAGACTTCAGAGAGGAGTACATGAAAGGTAATAGCCCCATTGTTATGGTTAGTACTTTTGGTGGTATCCACATCCAGTCGCTTTGAAGTGTACTGAAAGAAGTGAGGGCCATAAAGCCCCTTTGTTCACCCCCTTCCCTTCATCGTATGACAGAATCCAGAGAAGGCAGGAATGGGGTTTTCTATAGTTGATAACTAGAGATGAAATATAATTGAATTCTGACATCCTGCCCCCTTAAAAATAAGATAGATCCACCTGAAAGAAAACAAAACAGATATAAAAGTTAGTCGGGCTTGTTAGGATACTCTGTGTGAAACTTCTTTAATAGCTTTGAGGCTCTGACATGACGTTTATGGACCCATTCGTTTTGTGAGGCAGGAAGATGTTTCCATGCAACTAAGTACTGAGTCGCTCCATGATATCTCCTAGAGTCAAGGATTTCCTTTATTTCGAAGTGTTGTTCGCCCTCCACCATGATTGGAGGTGGTGGTGGTGGGGATTTTGGCCGTAAAAATGACTGACGCTCTCTTTTCAGCAAGCTGCAATAAAAATTGGGTGTATTTTGCCTGAGATTTTTTGGTAATTCTAATTCTACTGTTACTGGGTTTATGATTCTTTTAATTGGAAAAGGCCCTATATATTTTGGTCCAAGTTTTTTACAGGATTGTAGGGACTTTAGTATTTTGTAGATAAGTACACCATTTCTCCTATAATGAATGGTGTAGGCTCAACCCTTTTTTTATCGGCTTGTGCTTTGTATGCCTGTCTAGCTTCATTTAGTGCTTTTCTAACTATTGGCCAGGTGTTTTGTAGTTTTTCCATCCATTCTTTCAGTGATGGGATCGTTGGTTCGTTTGGGGTTAATTCTGGCATGGGGTTGAAACTTTGACCGGTGGCTATTTGAAAAGGAGTGTAACCTGTGCTGGAGTGGACTGCATTATTGTAGGCAACTTCTGCAAAAGGGAGTAAGTCCGCCCAATCGGACTGCTGGAAATTAAGAAAACATCTTAAATATTGCTCAAGTACTGAATGACAACGTTCTGTTTGTCCATCCCCTTGTGGATGGTGGCTAGATGTCAGTCCCTGAGTGGTCCCTAAAAGGGATAAAAATTCCTTCCAAAATGCAGACGTAAATTGCACTCCCCTATCAGAGAAGATGTGTTGGGGTGCCCCATGCAATCTGTAAATGTGCTGGACGAAAAGTTTTGCTAAGGCTTTTGCAGTGGGAATCTTTTGGCAAGGGATAAAGTGCACCTGTTTGGAAAACAAGTCCGTGACCATCCAGACAACAGTATTCCCATTGCTTTCTGGCAATTCCACTATAAAATCCATGGCTATTTCCCTCCAGGGGGCTGAGGGATTTGCCACTGTTTGTAATAGTCCTAGCGATTTCCCTTGCAACCTCTTTGCAGTAGCACATTTTGTGCAGCTGGCAACGTAGCTTTCTATGTCCTTTTTTATGGATGGCCACCAAAATTGCCGTTTAATTAAGTGTAAAATTTTCACAAATCCAAAATGCCCTGCTGATTTTGTGTCATGGCAAAGCTGCATGAATGTGACTCTTTGGGTTGTTGGTATATATAACTTTTCTCCTACCCAAGGCAACCCGTCTCTCATTGTGCACACATTTTTGTTTTCTGGAACCATTCATCTGTTTCCAAACTTTTCCAGAATTCAATTCCAGTTTGGCTGTCTAGTTGTGGTTTTAATTTAGCATGGGTTCTGGTGGTTACTGGTGCTGCCAGTTGTGACTCTGCCATCATTGGTTTAGAGTCTGAGGCTCGTGTGCTGTTATATTGGGGCATGCGAGATAGTACATCTGCCAGGCAAATGTTTGAGCTTAAATTGGAACTAGTGAAAATGCTGGGACCAGTGGGCTTGTTTGGGATTGAGTTTCCTGGGCGCTTTCAGGTCTTCCAAATTTTTCTGATTAGTCCATACCTGGAAGGGGATTTTGTTGCCTTCCAGGAACTGTCGCCACATGAGTAATGACCAACGTAACCCGTATGCCTCTTTCTCCCATACGGGCCAGCGCTGTTCTGTTTCCGTGAGTTTGTTGGATGTATATGCACAGAGTTGCAATACCCCTTCATCGTTTTTTTGTAATAGAACAGCCCCCACTGCCACATCACTTGCATCCGCCTGTATTACAAAGGGCTTATCCATTGTCCATGTTAGTGGCTGGCTAGGTTTTACTGAGGATGCTCCCTTCGTTTTTAGTAAGTTAGTGAGAGGCAGGGCTATCTGGGCAAATGAGGGGATGAATTGGCGGTAAAAGTTTGCAAAGCCCAGGAAACTTTGTAGTTGCTTTCTTGTGCGGGGTGGTGCCCAATCTAATACTGCTCTGACCTTCTCTGGGTCCATTTCAATGCCCTGGGAGGATATGCAATAACCTAGGTAGTCTATCCTTTCCTGGTGGAATTTGCATTTTGAGAGTTTGGCATATAGGTGGGAGGCTCGCAGTTTCTTTAAAACCTCTGACTAGGTTGACATGTTCCTCTTTTGTTTCGGTGAAGATAAGAATGTTGTCTAAGTAAACAAGGACCCCCTTAAACAGGTGCTCCCTTAGAACATCATTAATTAATTGCATCAATACTGCATGGCCCCCTTGTAATCCAAATGGCAAGACTTTGAATTGGTAGCACCCCATGGGGCAGTTAAATGCGGTCTTCCATTCATCCCCTTCCTTAATTCTCACGCGATAGTAAGCTTCCCTTATGTCTAGTTTAGAAAATTTTTTCCCTTTCGAGAGGTGTGACAGCATGTCTTTCATGAGGGGCAGAGGGTATAGGTTGCTTTCACTGATTGTATTCAGGGCCCTATAATCCACGCATAAACGTAAAGAGCCATCCTTCTTCTCTCTAAAAAGGACCGGGGCAGCCACTTTAGGCTTGGCTGGCTCAATGAAACCTCTCTCCAGGTTTTTTTTTATAAATCTTTCCATTTCCTCCTTCTCCTTTGGGCTCATGGAGTATAATCTGGGCTTCGGGAGTTTTGCCCCAGGCTTGAATTCAATGGTACAGTCTGTGGGTCGATGGGGGGGGGAGCTCATCCGCCGTCTTCTCACTGAAAACATCAGCAAGGTCTCTGTATTCCTCTGGTATTTTTGGTAGTCCCTTTTCCTCCCCCATGGATGCTTTTTCTGTTCTTGGTTCTTGTAGTCCCCCTTGGGGTTTTAGGTCCATAGGGTCCCCCTTCGGGAATTTGATTTCTGCCGTCCTCCAATTCACCCAGGGGTTCCATTTTTTTAACCATTCCATCCCTAGGATCATTAAGCATTCCATGCCTGGGGTCACCACAAATGTTATGTCCTCCTCATGTTTGCCCAGGGAGAGGTGTATTGGTAAAATGGCTAGGGTAGCTGGCACCCCCCCTGCTATGGATCCATCTAGCTGGCCAAATGCGATTGGTTGTTCCAGTCTCCTCGACGGAATGCCCAGATTCCCCACTAGTGTCGGGCTAATGAGGCAGCGGGTGCAGCCAGAGTCTATTAAGGCTTTCACCTTCACGGCTTCAGGCATGGGGGGAATTAAAATAGTTACTGTCTTGAGGATGGGTGCGATGCGTCCACTTACCAGGGGTTCGCCCTCCGAGCTGTCATCTGAGGCATCCACCGGCCCTGCGGTGTAGGCTGGAGTTCTTTCCCCCTGATGAGCGGAGGTGGGGGCTTCCGCAATTTCCATCATTCTCATGGCAGTTTCTTTTGTCTTAGCTGGAGACTTTCTGGATTTGCTGATCGGGGATCTGTCTGGGTTGTGCTGGGGGGCTTTTGAGCAGCATTGTACAGCTTGATGCCCTTCTCTTCCGCATTTGAAACACCCCATTTGCTTCTTGGCTGTAGCCAATGGTTTCACTGGTTCGTGTGTCAACTCAGGCGGGGAGCAGCTCCATTGTTTTCCTCGGGGGTGCCTCTTCAATATGTCGATCTCTGCTTCCTCTGCCAAGATGTACCATTCCTCAAGTTGGTGTGGGTCCCCTCGGGGCAGGCAAGCATCATATAGGTCATAATTTAGTCCGTCTTTTAAATGGCTAAGGAGGATGTTTGCTGGCAATGGCCCGGAATTCTTGTGTATATTCAGCCACCGGGCGTTTGCCTTGCCTCATCGTTTTTATCCTTTCATGGGCTTTGCGATCAGCCAGGGGGTCTTCAAATCGTCTTCTCAGAGAGGACATGAAACGGTTGAAGTCGCTGAGTTCTGGGGCTTTGGAGTCGTGCAAGTTCACCACCCAATCTGCAGCAGGTCCGTCCAGGGCAGATTGCACGATCCGGATGCGGGTTTTGTCGCTGGGGATGTCCCGCCCGTATTCCTCCATGTAGCTGAGGACTTGGGTTAGGAAAAACCCCAAGCGTGTTGGCTCCCCTTTGAATTTCACATCCAGCAGAGGATGTCTTGGAATGGATCGGTGCCTTCATTGTCGGTGGTAGTGTCTTCCATCCAAATCGCCATCTGCGGGTCAGCGGGGGGTGGGGACTACTGGATCAGTAGCTGTCCCCGGGGTTGCAGGTTCCACGTCCCCCTCGGTGTCTCTCCCTTTCTGGCTCCAGGAGCTGGGGCGGCCGTAGGGCTCAGGATTCTCCTCTCCTAGGGAACTGAGAGTTCTCTTCATCAGGTCAATAGCTTTCTCTAGGATCCAGTCCGAGTACGGTGTCCAGCTCCCTTCCTCTTCACTTGCGTGCAGGGATTTCTCCATCTCCTGCTTCCATTCTGGTTGCTTGGCCCCCCCGTCTCAGGGTCACCTTTCTTGATTCCTTTCCCCACTCACTTTTCTTTCCAACGCCCATTGACCAGCAAGGCTTGTGGTCTCATGTCTCCACCACCTCTTCTCCTGAGGAATCTGACCTCTCGGATCCCAACATCTGGCAAGGTTCCAACTGGGTCAGCGGCTCTCTTTCCAGGGAGTTTTCCCCCTCTCTTGCTCCATTGTCTGACATGGTAAATTTTTGCAAAATCCCCCGGCAAGGGTCTCCCTTCCAGGTGGATTAATTTTGCAAGTCCTGTCTAATGTAAGGACCCACCCCACTTTGCATCTTAAGAAGACAGAACTCTTGCAATCTTTCTTCCAACAGGCATCTTTATTAAGAGAAACTGGTTGCAGGCATTCTAGATGGGACTTGGGGTCCAAGTTCTCCCATTCAAGGTTTTAAGGGGTTCCCCAGTAGCCCCACCCCATCACCCCCTTCTTCCAGCGACAGTCCCAGGCATTACATTCCCACCCCCTTTCTCTCACTGCCGACAGGAGGTAGACTTCAGAGAGGAGTACATGAAAGCTAATAGCCCCATTGTTATGGTTAGTCCTTTTGGTGGTATCCACATCCAGTCGCTTTGAAGTGTACTGAAGGAAGTGAGGGCCATAAAGCCCCTTTGTTCACCCCCTTCCCTTCATCGTATGACAGAATCCAGAGAAGGCAGGAATGGGGTTTTCTATAGATGAAACATAATTGGATTCTGACAGATATGCCTTTTAACTTAACCAAAGGTCTCCAGGATTAGAGATGTGTGTAGAGATTTGCTGAAAAACAGTATCTTCTGGTATTAACAGGCGTGGTCTCTTGGTGTGCTCAGTCATGTGTAAGATTGAGTGAAGCAGGCTAATTGACCAGTTAAGAGCCGAGGTGGCGCAGCGGTTAGAGTGCAGTACTGCAGGCCACTTGAGCTGACTGTGTTCAGCAGGTCAGCGGTTCAAATCTCACCGGCTCGAGGTTGACTCAGCCTTCCATCCTTCCGGGGTAGGTAAAATGAGGACCCAGATGGTTGGGGGCAATGGAAATATATATATACATTGCTTACTGGTGTACACCGCTTAGAGAGTGCTTGCAGTTAAAGTGGTATATAAGTCTCATAAATAAATAAATAAGTCCCCCCCCCCAAATCCTTGGGGTTCTTGGCATTATCCTCAGAAATGGGGCGAGAGCTTATTCTGGTGGGAAAGCAGGACTTTTGCCCTTGATCCCGAGGAAGGTCTGTAAGTGAGAATGAGATCTGCCTGCTGAAAGGAGCCATGCTCCAAAGCCAGGCCTGGCAGGAGGCCTGCAGTTCTCCCTGGCACGGGTGACAGCAGGGAGGACTTCTCCCCACTGAGCCTTTCTCCCCTCGCAGAAGGTGATGCCCCTTAACCTCAGGGGGATCAGGAGGAGACGGAGGGCAGCAGCTACCTGGCCTGATCGCTAAGGTAGAAACTAGGGATCGGCCCAGAAGTTGTACTTAAAACTATGAGGCCCCCTAAATAGGATTGTCATTTGAGAACCCAGCAGAAACATCTGCTGTGTGCCTGTTGTTTTTATCTGCTTCTACTTCATTAAAAAGAGCTGGAAATAGAAAGTGCTTCAGATTTTATGAATTACTTTGTAAGTAGATGAGAGTTGAAACCTTGACATCCGTAACAAAGCATGGTTGGGGATTATTCAGCTCTTACTTAACTGAATACGCAATAGATTCCAGAAGCCTCACATTTGAGGCTGCGATCCAACATGATGAGCACTCTTACAGAGAGGGTAATAAAGCTTTTTGTTGCTGTTTTTAGTGCCCTTGTCTGCTTCGTTTACTTCTTGGTCTTCTCTTCCTGACATTGTGTTCCAAGAAATGGCTGAAGTTTTCATGGCAAAATGTCTGCCCTGGTCCCTGGCCAATACACAGCAGACAGAGACGAATGGCTGTCCAGCCTCCAGAGCCCTTGTCATGTTTGTTGCTCTTTGTACTCTTTCTTGGGTCTCAGCCTCTTTCTTGTATTGTGGTGCCCAGAAGTGGACGCAGTATTCCAGCTGTGGTCTCACCAGTGCAGTATAAAGTGGTACTAACACTTATCATGATCTTGATTCTCTCCTGCTATTGATGCAGCCCAGGACTGCATTGACGTTTTTGGCGGCTGCAGGACATGGTGGGCTCATGCTTAAGAGGTGGCCCACCAGGACTCCGAGATCCCTCTCCCAGTTACTGCTGTTGTGCCGGCAGGTACCTGCTATTCTGTACCTGTGCATTTGGCTTTTCTTGCCTAAGTGAAAAACCTTACTTTTCTCACCACTGAATGGCACTTAGTTGGAGAGGGCCCAGTGTTCAAGTCTGTCCAGATCCCTCTGGACCTTGAGCCTGTCTTCTAAAGGGCTGGCAATTCCCCCCAGCTTAGTGATGAGTTCTGTTTTCTTGCTTTCTCCTGCTGGAATTGCCAAATCCTTATGCAAAGTGGGAGAAGGATCTGTTATTGGATGACTTACATGGGATCTCTTTTCTTTATCCTTGCACGTAGGGATTGTGTTTGTGATCTAATATATTTGTGCCACCCACAGGTCTGAGCTTCCAGTCGTCTTAGCTCCAATTCAGGCGAAGCTTTTTTCATTTTTTTTTTTTTTCTGACTGTCCGATTTTCCTTCTTAGGGTCTGATTCCAGCAGAGCAGTACTACAGAAGCTGCCAGGAGCTCTTGGGTGAGAACTTCAGGAAGATCTTCAATGAGCTCTTGGTCCTCCTGCCAGACACAGCCAAGCAACAGGAACTGCTCTCTGCTTACAATGACTTGACAGCCAAAGCTCCAGCTGGCTCCTCTCCCTCCTCCTTGAGCAGGTCCAAGAAGAACCAGAAGGCGGTTTGGCAGACCGAGCCGGCTTCCGACCTCGACTGCTGCGTCTGCCCCACCTGCCAGCAGGTGCTGACCCAGCAGGACCTCGTTTCTCACCAAGCCCTGCACCTGGAGGAGGAGGAGGAGTTCCCTTCCTTGCAGGCCATTAGCCGGATCATCAGCTAGCTAGCCCAGGTGACCAATAAAATTAGTCTCCCTCTGGAAATTGGCTCTTCTCAGGCAGGTTCTCCACAGAGGGGAGAGGAGCCAGCGGTGCACGTGGGCCAAAGGGCCTCGGGGCTTGAGGAAGAAAAGCAGGGGGAATTAAATGGGGACAGGACAATGGAAGCGGTAGCTTCCTTCTTCTCTGCAGAATAGGACGGAGCAGCAGGGGGACAGAGACTTAGTTTACTGCTGTAGATAAGAACTTAACTCCTGGCTGGCTGGCTGGCTGCAGCAAGGATGTTGGGCAGAGGGGAGCTGCTGCTTTCTGAAAAGGGGAAGGTTGGGCTTGGCTGCTGAGAAATAATGGGGAGCGGCTCACAGGGTCTGTGGGAAAGGATTCCAGAAGACGGGAGAGAGCTGAGAATAGCGACTGCTGTGTGGTCTTTCTCTGTCCTTCTGTCCTTTATTCTTAACAGTGTTTTGCAGAGAGGACTTTGCTGTTTGTCCCAGCAGGGAAGGGTCCTCAGGCAGAGGAATTGCCCAAGAACTCAGAATCTGTTTCTCTCACGTTGTTTCTAACGGAAACCTCAGCTCTTTCCTTTGGTTCTGTTAGAATTGCATGCGGGGGGAAGGTACCACCCAGCGCTTTCTTTACTTCTCACTGTAAATGTGGATTTCTGTCCAGTGATGTGAGATCAGTTATTTCTGTGGTCTTGAGTGGTTGTGGCTCATTAAATGCTGCTCAGCGGTGACCACTTCCTGATGCCTCAGGGTCATCCTGGCATGTTCTTGAAAAGGGCTGCTTGCCTGGATCTCTGCCCCAAGGACTTGGGATGCCCAGGGTGTTGCCTGCTGCTATCCCCGAGTTCTCTCCTGCTCCTTCTCCAGATCATCCCCACAGAAGGAGAGTTGAGTTGCTTCCACAGACGGGGCCTTGAGACGGTAACATTGGTCAGAGGCACCACTAGCTTTTTACAGTAGCATTAGAGAGTAGACGTTATAAATATGATTTACGATTTTCTGTGCCCCTCCCCTCACACACACAACCACATATGAGTATTCAAGACCTAGCACGGGCCCCTTGAAGTTTTATTTTGTGTACGTGTGTATGTATGTGGGATATAATTGGATTGTGCTACTTCCCATTGCCTCTATTTAAAGGGAAAAAACTACAGAAACCATTTGATGTCTTGCAAAGCAAAACTGAGTAAAGCTCAATCTAAAGATCTGGCACATTATTTTTGTGGGCTGGCTTTAATTGCTGAAGATTTGGTATTGCAGTCCCTCAATTTTCAAGAGCAAAAATGGTCTATTAGTGTTTTTTTAAAGTCACTATTTGCAGAGCCCATTGCTGTATCAAGTCGGCCATTGAGTTCCAAAATGGTGGGCTCTTTTGAAGTGAGCTGGAATTGTTCATTCTTTTATGTTGGCAATGCTTGTAAGAAGACCCGGAGCCTCAGTCTCAGACAAGGTTTATTTTGTCATTAGACAAAGTTCAGTTTACTGTTTTTAGGTCTTAAAATTGGTGCTTTTCAGCCAACTTTTTTCAGTTATTTCAAATTTTTTCAGTATAAGTACAATAAAATTGGGCTCTTTTCAACTTCAGCCAATGCATGGGAGTGCAAATCAGTTCAAGGAAGTCCTCCCATCTTTAACACATTCAGGGATCTCCTTTGCCTCCCCCACTCCCATTGGGCCTGTTCCTTCTGGTGGGGACATGGCTTTCTCACTTGCTGAATGCCTTGTGGTGAGACCGTGTGTGGGTCCTGAGGATTCTGTGGGGCTGCTAGAGGCCTTTTGCCCCAAGCTCCTGTTTCTTTGGGGCTCTCCAATGAAAATAAGGGCTTACATTGCAGAGTTTTACAGCTGAGCCTTCCAGAGGCATCAATGGAAGACAAAGAAGCTGCTGCTGCTTATAGTGGCTCCCCCATTTGGTTTGACTGGGGCTCCTTGATACCTGAGAACAAGACCCATCAGGTCTCAGGCTGGGGCAGGACACCTGCTTCCACTCAGTTGCCTGGCATCCTGGAATGCTCCTGCCACAAGTGACTTAAGTACTGTTAGCAATGCTGTCATGCCTGTCTGAGAGGATGGCTGTTAATAAGGCTGCACCAGCCGTTTGGATCACCTGGTGGCCTCCCTTCCTGAGGAACATTTTGACAAGTTTCAGGCTCTTCCTTTTAACTCTTTATTGGAAAATAAGTTGTAATCGCAACACCAACAGTTAAATTAGCACAATCACAGACTAATCTGTTTTTCAAAATGTACAGCTATAATTATATACATAAAAAATGTAAACATTAAAAAATTCACACGGTCCGCTTTTCTGTCACAGTGCATGTCGGATTACTTAAAGTGGCAACTTTTTTCCTGCTGTTCGTGGTAAACGGAAACATCTGCCTTTTTGATCTCCGAATGAACCTTAACAAGAAACAAAGAGAAGCCAAAACGGCGTTACAGCAATTCCAGGCTTTTTTCTCTCGTACAGGGATCGCTCGTCTGCAACTGCTCTCCTCCAACCGGGCCTCTGCCGATTGTGTTGGATTGCCAGATCCAGATTGCTGGGGCTGAGGGGAACCGGAGCCTTAGGCAGGCAGGCATCTGTCCAGGGAAAGCTGCCTTCTGCGCTGCATGAAATGATGGACTTGTCGGGGAAAACGAGGGAGGGTTTTCTTGCTTGTGCAAGATAAGGCCAAAATGCTGGCCTTTTGGAGGGTTAACCTGTTTCTGCTTCTGCAGCATTAACACTGGAAGACCTGGGCAAGATCATCCTTGAAATGCCAACTTGCTTTTTTGCTGGGTGTGTTGAGGAGGCTGCCTGGGAGACCACCAGCCGTCCAGAAACAAAGGGCTCGAATTCAGTTGTGTTGGCCTTGGAGTTCCAAGTCCCTGCCTGGAAGCCCAAAGGAAACACCCACCTCCTCCTCCTCCTCCTGAAGTGGTGATGGTTTCTATTATCATGCCCTTCAGACCCTGCAGTGCTCTCTGGGACAATGAGACAGAGCTGAAAAAAGCAGCCCAAATGAAGACAGGGCAGTCGCAGAGTCCTAGCCAAAGGCCGAGGCTTCTGGCCTGTTCTTGGATTGCATTCGGGATCTTTTGGTTTCTGCAGAAGGAAAGCGGGGGGGGGGGGGGGCTGCTTTAGTAGTGTGTAAATGTACGCATGGGATATTGTCTTGCAGAATAGTGGAATGAAAAAAAGTAGGGAATGAATTCACAGAAGTAAGGGATAAGTAGCACCGGCTGCGTGTATCCATGGGGCGACTGAACAGGGAGCGAAGAAAAGACCGGAGGGTGAGCTACTCTTATTACCGCCTGCAGGATCCGCCACTGGGGGCCTGGCTGGGGCCTTTGGTCTGGCTTTGCTTTCCAAACAACGTAGCCTTCTAATGGTCTTGTGGGTCGTCCTGTTTAAGCAGCACTTGTGTAGTTTGTATGGCTGCTTCAGCTGTGGAGGCGGACCTTGCCTCTCTCCTCTTGACTTAGAATAAAATGCCAGCTTTTCTCACACCTTTGGCAGAGGGGCCCTGCTGGGTGGGCGAGGGCTGGGCCACAGGCCTGGGCAGAGTGAAGCGTTTGGAAGCCCTGTGCCTTCCCGAGAGCAAATTGGGTGCACGAGACAATTTTAGGGGGGATAAAGGCTTTGTGTTCTCTGAAATTCTTCCCTGGACCTCTCTTATTTTAGCACATTATTTGGGAAAGTGATAACAGCCCCATAAAAAAGAGTTTTAGAATTGGGACAATCCTAACATATCTGGTTACATTGGGGGGGGGCCCTAGGGAGTTGTTCCAGATGAAGCCCCTGGTGAGAAAAGACTGCCTTTTTGCCACAGCTAAGGAAAGAATTGCCACAGAAAGCAACATGGCTGCTGTGCCCCACTTGCTACAAGTTTGTGCTGAGAAATTGTGCCTGGATGTCGTCAGCCGCTTGGCCCTTGTCAAGCGTGAGGAGGGGGATCCAGAGCTCCCACACCTCCAGACCACCAGCAGCCACCTCCAGTGCAGTGCCAGCGTCCCAGCCACCATCTTGGGCTGATCTTGAGCCAGAATTTCTGTCACACACACACACACACTGTTTTAGTCCATTCCGTTTTCAATGTCAGCCTGAGTTGTGAATGCTGCATGACGCAGCTTTGCCCACATCATCAAGCCACCTCTCCCCTTAAGCTCGGGAGGCTGAAAGGAAGGAAATAATATGCGCGGGTAACGTACATACATTCAGAACGGTGATCTATACTAGCACATTAACAGTGACTAAGAGGGTTCTAGCACTCCGACAACATAATCTCCTGTTTGTTTGTTTTCCCTTACACTTAGCACAAGGATACTCTCAAATGGGTTTCTTTATAATTAGGAAAAAAATACATTACTCAATAGACATTTATTTCACATGTACAATCAAGAGAAACATTTAAATATTTGATAGTTCTGCTTCTGAGTCTGCATGGTTTCTTCCTAAAATGCTGAAACACAGTTTTGTGGGCTGCTATTGTGCCAGTGTTCTCTCTAAGGAAAATACTGTATTGCTTCAATTCTACCCTGTTTTAAAAACATCTTCAATCTTGCACTGCTTTTGAACTGCCAAGACTGACCTGATCACCTTACAGAATCAAATCTGGTGCGTTTTAAGGCTGAAATATGACCACGGCCATTTTAACAGTCTCTGCGAAAATTTAGTGTATTGGTTATTTACTATTTCTATTTGTATTCTGCCTTTTCCACTCCCAAGATATCTGAGGCAGCTAAAATATATATTATCCCACTTTCATGTTTATTTGCACTTGGAAAAATCCTAATAAATTTAGATCTTTATAAGAATACTGAGACACCCGTCTCTGCAGGAGGATCCTGAGACCACATTCCCCTATTGCAGCTGAAATCATTTAAAATAATTTCTTTTTCTTATAAAAAACTGTTTCCATTCTCTTTGTTTTATATCAATTTTCTGGTCCTTTATGGGGGAATTATATATGAATACTTTTGCTTTGGAAACGTAAGGGTCTCACTGTCCCTAAGAAAGGTTACTTGATTTGCAAAGGAAAGAGGGAATTTCCTCAATATTACAATGCTTATTGGGCCAACATGGATCTTTGTTTCAGAGGAAAGCGTAGGTAGTCTCAACATGAGACATGGCTATTTTAAAGGGGTGGCAGGGATAACATTTTGGTCTTATTCATGATGAAAAAAAGTATGCCAAACGTCAGTAATATGATCAATCTTTGGGGCCACCCAGTGCCTGGAATCAAGTCTCCGCTTTTGTCCTTGGGAATCCTCCCAGGTTTCCCTTCCCCCTTCTGATTTCTCAACAAGAATGATGATTCTTCAAACAAGAGGAGACCATAGGAGCCACCAAATCTTGAGATGGCACCTAAGTTGGCCAAATGCTACATTTCTTACTGTTGAAGGACTTTTATTGGTTTGATTTCTGGAATGGAACAAGGTTTAGCTTTTTAAGTGCCCATTTTAAACAACAAAGTGTCCTGGAATACCAGAAACACATATGTGCAGCATATATACACATTTATTGTCCGAAGTATAGCACTTACAGTATATACACCCAACTATACATCAGAGAAGATAACACAACTATCTGGTATTTTAATTTGGCACATCCCTTTTTAACTTTTCTAAGTTCTTTCTAGGAGGAAAGAAAATTGAAAAGGAAAGAGAAGACAGGCTTCTAGGAATGTCTGGGAGAACTATTTTTTTCATACCAGCTGGCCAGGAAAGATGGGCACTCTATCTGGCTGGTCCCTTGAGTATTCGTGACACCTACAAACAAGGAACAGGGCTTTGATCATGCAGTGGTGTCTGCCATCTGGTCTTTTGGGGCACCCACACCCCTCCAGTGCCCCTGTGTCTTGCCAGCCAAGCATCACGTGAGTAAATGCCACGGTAGTCAGGGAAATGGGAATTACAGCTTTTCTAGAGTTTCCTGCTTAGAGGGAACACTGTTGCCCTTCTTTTCCTTTTTAATATAAAAATATCCTTGGACAGATAAGACAAGAACCACTGTACAGAATTCACTGCACCATTAGCTAAGAGTAAGTTTAACCCAGCACATAACTCGCCACATATTTTTTTTAAAAAAGGGAAAATGAAAGTACTTTTGAATACACTTGCAATCAATCTATTGACTATACTTGCACATTGTGGGGTGTCAACCCATTTTTCTGGGTCTGGTTCCGGTTTGCTCTGAAACCTCATGGGGGGAATCACCTGCCCTTTCAGTAAGCTGGCACCTGGTAACCTTTGGGACTGGTGTTTATGGTCTCAGAGAACGGTGGGCTCTGATAGGCTTCTGTGCTTTCGATGCCACCGCTGGTGGGAGGATGTCCCGGATATCCTGCCGTGGGATCAGGGCCAAACTGATCTGTGGCAAAGAGAGACATGTCAGTCCCCATCCGGTATCTTTGGAGGGCTTTTACAGTCAGGGCAACCTGTAACGGCAAAGAAAAGTTTCTTAGGACTTAGGTTCCCTCTTAGGCCCAGCACTCTTCAATATCTTCATCAATGACTTAGATAAGGGAATAGAAGGGGAACTAATCAGAATTGCAGATGACACTAAGCTGGCAGGTTTTGCATCACAAGGAGACTTCCGGTTTTGCATCATAGCTCCGCATCCCATGGCTGATTTCATCCTGCCAGGGGACCCTAAATGAATCTAAAGTTGCCCCAGAGAGCTAACAAAGAAGGAGGGGCCCCCGTGGATCACAGAAAGATGGTGGTCAATCTGTTTGATCCTGGGGAAGCCCTCCAAACCGACAAGAGAAAGGCTAGCTGCACTTCAGTGGCTAGCCCCAGGTACCGGGATCTAAAATCCAAAAGCACTAACTACAACAACTGTGAGCAGCGTGCTTGAAACTGGATGAGAATATCAATCTATTCTCTTCTATCTTGCAACTGATTTCCTGGAAAAGATCCCCAAGAAGCAAAAATCCTCCAAAAGTAGAAGGAAGGGGATCACCCCACCCTTCCATAGATGGAAGCAGCTCTGATTTTTATGGGGAGCATAAACATATTGAAATGGAATTTAATATAAAGCTATAGTCTGGATAAATCTGAAAATTGTGGAAATTGTTAAGATCTTCCCTTTGAAAGTGCATTGATGAATTTACAAGAAAATAATTTTCTGCTTTAAAAGTTGGAAAATGAACAGTTAGTGACATCTAGTGGTGGATCATTAGAGTATAAAATTATAGCTGCCTTGGCTCAAAAACTGGAAAGATGCCCAGAAACAGATAACAACCTGTCCCTTTAATCCTCACCAACTCTCAGCTAAACAAAGAACAGCTGGGAATAGAGGAGAGAAAATACATTGGGCTATCTACTACAGAGTGAGAACTACAATTGCAAAAAAAATTGTTGACCTTAGATTATAAACACCTACTGAGCTGTGATTTTTGGCTCAAGAATTGTCTGCAGAGAAAGAAAAACCTTGACTTTTGGCTACTCTTCTAGGGGAGAAGCCCCTGAATTGCTCTTGGGTGGTTGAACATTTTGGACTGCAAATTTTGGCTGATTGATAACTGTAGGACCCCTGAGCAGAAGAACTGTTATAAAATATTGCTTTTAGTGGTGGATTGATAATTGGAAATGCATTGGACTATAAAGACCACACATAAAGATAAGAACTATACAAGAATTATATGTTTGGATTTTAATGTTGGTTGGTTGGATAAAACTAATATACAGGGATTATGGTATCTGTGAAAGATTATTTGGAGGGGGGAGATAAAATGAGTATTGCATACCTAACTAAAAGTGGTAGGGAACCACACCCAAGATTCTTTTCTGAAGCTCCCAGCCTGGAACATCAGAGATCTGCAGGAGTAATACTTCAAGACAAGGCAAATATCTTCCAGGAGGAAATGCATGCTATGTTGCAACTAATTCAAAGGACAATTGTTTCAAATAATGAGATTAAAAATAATTCTGATGAGATATATAAGCACATCTTTAACCTAAGCTTACAACTAAAAAACTCTCAGAAAATGACAAAGAATGAACAAATAAATCAGACAATAGAACAGAAATCAGAGGAAAGTGACCCAAAGCTGGAGGCTACAAACGAAAGGAATTACAGATTAGTACAGGTAAAGAAAAATTTGCGAGATTCTGTTATAATATTGGAAAGGGAAAAGGCATTTTATTTTTCAGGCCTTCAAAATAAACCAGAGGATAAGAAAGAAGATCCAACAAAATGGATTATAGAGACACCAGGAGTACTACTAGAGTTTGGGAGACAAAAAATGAAAAGAGAAATCGAGGGAGAAGGAAAGTGGAAGCTCTTTAATAAATAGAGTATAAATGGGCGAAACTCCCCCTCAAAAGTATCTCACCTAATCTGTCTTCCCCAGCTCTAATAACATTCATAAAAGAATTCCCTGGCAAGCTGAACACGCTGACTCAGAAAGCTGTCTGGCAAAAGAAGAAAGCTAGAGTTAGATTCAAGAGATCAGATGATTTGACTTACCAGATGGAGTACTATATGACTAAACACTTGTTTGAATATGGTTAAAAGAGTAGATAAACTTTGGATATAAATGGGTTCTATAGCAAGAGGGATGTGATTTATAGGTAATATAGCACTTTGTTTATATTATGAGAAATATAAAAATACTGGGATGGCTTATGTGAGCAAAATGTCTGGACGGTTTAATTAATTTTGAGAAAATTATAATTGATAATGTTTTGAATACTGAGGGAAAACTAAGCTTAAATAAGAACTTCAAAAACAGGACCTATAGTGATTTAATAAAATGACTCTTCACAAACACAATTGAAACATAAGCTTATTAAAAAAGATGTTATATTTGGATGTTAATGTTATTTGTACAAACACTAGAAAAATATTTACATTCAACTTTGTATGTATTGAAAATACTAAGAATTGTATTTACTCAGGGTTGGCAAAAGGAAAATACTATTGGAAAAAAAGAAGATCAAGGAAATGTATCATTAGCTGGTATGTTGACTCTCTTGCCCAAATGCATGGATGTGTTTCTGTGGTGCTCAGTCCTGTGAAGTATCATCCCATATAATGACAGTGATACAACTTTTTCTTTTTGACCTACAGAGTTCGCCCATCTTAAGACCCCTACTTAAATCTCCTCTATTTTTTTTTCTTATTACAGCAGGACATCATTTAAAGATCAAAAGCCTCTTTTCTTTCTGATACTCTTGTACTTTCCAAATATACAAGCAATCTCCTATTTCAAAAGTGTTACAGCTTTTGTTCTTATTTCTTTCCATTATATCTTATTGGGCCTCTCTGGAGAATGCTTTTATTGAAAAGGGGGCCCTTCTTTTGCTGCCCAAGTATCCCAATTTCTAAAATGACTGTGCAAGGGGCATTGGAGAGGGGGCAGCCTATCCTCCCTCGCCTTAGGAGGGGTCCGTTCTTTGGTGTCTTCTTTGCAAATTTTTTTTCCCTACTTGGCATAATATAGAGCAGCTCAGAGTCTGCTGGAGCGGGCAGCTGTAAACAAATTTAAAGAGTAATCGTATATTCTTACCATCGGTTCCAGGAGGAGCTTGGGGAGATACCTGACTCCCTTGTCCACAACTCGTCCGGGTCCCTGGTTGCGGCCTGGAATGAGGCGGCGTCCGGGGCCCTGGATCGAATTGCGCCTTTGCGACCTCTCTGTGGTGGTGGTCCCCGGAGGGCCCCTTGGTTTACTGAGGAGCTCCGGGAGATGAAGCGCCACAAGAGACGTCTAGAGCGACGTTGGAGGGCCAGTAACTCTGAATCTGACCGATCACTATTAAGAGCCTATCTTAGGACTTATTTAGTGGCGATAAGGGCGGCAAAGCGTGTTCACTTTTCCGCACTTATTGCGTCCGCAGAATCTCGCCCGGCCGCCTTGTTTAGGGTGACCCGCTCCCTTCTTAAAGTGGAGGAGGCGGAGGAACCCTTGCAGGGGAGAGCTGAGGAGTTTGTTCAGTTTCTGTCGGACAAAATCGCTCAGATTCAGAGAGACCTGGACTCCGACTGGGCAGTGCCAGCCGAGTTGCCAGGGGCTGGTCTTAGTCATGTTATCTGGAGCGAGTTTGAGCCTGTGACCCCTGATGAAGTGGACAAGGCCGTGAGGGCAATGAATGCCGCCACCTGTTTATTGGACCCGTGCCCCTCCTGGCTGGTTTCTGCCAGTAGGGAGGTGACACGAGGCTGGCTCCAGGCGATAATCAACGCCTCCTTGATGGAGGGGTCTTTCCCGCAACCTTTAAAGGAAGCGGTGGTGAGGCCCCTCCTCAAGAAGCCTTCCCTGGACCCAGCTGTTTTGAAGAACTTTCGTCCCATCTCCAACCTCCCCTTTGTGGGGAAGGTTGTAGAGAAGGTGGTGGCGTCTCAACTCTTGCGATCCTTGGAGGAAACCAATTATCTGGACCCTTTTCAATCTGGTTTCAGGCCCGGCTACAGCACTGAGACTGCTTTGGTCGCACTGACCGATGACCTCTGGCGAGCCCGGGATAGGGGTCATTCCTCTATCCTGGTGCTTCTTGACCTCTCAGCGGCTTTCGATACCATCGACCATGGTATCCTTCTGCGTCGTCTCGGAGAGGTGGGGGTGGGCGGCACCGTATTGCGGTGGTTCTCCTCCTACCTCTCTGACAGGTCGCAGTCGGTGTTGGCGGGCGGACAGAGATCGACCCCTAGGCGCCTTGATTATGGGGTGCCTCAGGGCTCGGTCCTGTCCCCCCTCCTTTTTAACATCTACATGAAACCGCTGGGTGAGATCATTCGGCGACACGGGGTGAGGTATCATCAGTACGCGGATGATACCCAATTGTATATCTACACCCTGTGTCCTTTCAGTGAAGCAGTCGACGTGATGTGCTGGTGCCTGGAAGATGTGAGGGTCTGGATGGGGGTGAACAGGCTTAGACTCAACCCTGACAAGACCGAGTGGCTCTGGGTCTTGCCTCCCAAAGGCCAACTGGATGGTCCATCTTTAGTCCTGGGGGGGGGCAAATTTACCTCCCTCAGTGCAGGCACGCAACTTGGGTGTCCTCCTGGACTCACAGCTAAATCTGGAACAACATCTATCGGCTGTGGCCAGGGGGACCTTTGCACAGGTTCGCCTAGTGCACCAGTTGCGGCCTTATTTGGACCGGGAGGCTTTACTCACAGTCACTCATGCCCTTGTCACCTCAAGACTGGATTACTGTAATGCGCTCTACATGGGGCTACCCTTGAAGGGCGTTCGAAGGCTGCAGTTGGTTCAGAACGCAGCCGCAAGAGCGATTGTGGGCGCGCCAAGGTACGCCCACGTGTCACCTATCCTCTGCGAGCTGCACTGGCTTCCTGTGGGTCTCCGGACGCAATTCAAGGTGTTGGTTATCACCTTTAAAGCCCTTCATGGCATAGGGCCAGGTTACCTACAGGACCGCATTCTGCTGCACAGCTCCCAGAGACCGGTGAGGTCCCATCGATTGGGCCTCCTTCGGGTCCCGTCGGCCAGACAATGTCGGCTGGCGGGCCCTCGGGGAAGGGCCTTTTCTGTGGTGGCTCCGACCTGGTGGAATCAACTTCCCCCCGAGGTGAGAACTGCTCCCACCCTGCCGGCCTTTAAGAAAGCCGTTAAAACTCTCCTGTTCTGGCAGGCCTGGGGTTGATGTCCCCGGGGGGCCGGGATATGATCGGACTCGCGGTATGATTGGATTATTTTATTGTTTTACGACTGTTTTTAATTTTGTACGCCGCCCTGAGTCCTTTGGGATTGGGCGGCATATAAATATTTGTAAATAAATAAATAAATAAATTAGCTGCTAGAGAATATATTACTTTTAAAAAAAAAAATAGTTCAGGATCTCATCGATGTCTCCAGATTGTAAAAGAAAGGCTCCAAAGAATTCAAAACTCTCTGCTTGTCAACACCTACAGAGTGGCAGGAAATTTTAAAAAAGAAATTGGGGGAAGGAGGCTTAGATATCCGGGCAAAGTTTCACCTATAACAAAAAAATTGAGCAAAGATGCAGCATCTGTATTCATTTTCTATTGTTAGTCTCTGCATTTTGCTATGAGTTGAGAAAAAAGCTAATGAATCCATTTGGGCCGCTCTCAATTTCATTTTTATGAGAGTTTAATTCCTTTTTTCCTCTTTTTTGAATAAATGTGGACTGGAAACTGTATCTGATGAGGAAAGATTGCCAAAGAGGACAATGTGACCAACTTCAGGTATTACAGAAAATATGATCAAGATACCAGAACACAGAATAATGGATTTCAGTTATAACAGAGTCATCTGAATGTTGAAAAAAATCCTAATATTGAGAACAGGTCAAAAGGGGTCAATCACCAAAGGAGGCGGTGGCCTTCCTCTGCCTGGGGATGTTCCAGTGGCAGATGGAAGCCCATTGGTTTGAGATGCCTTAATTGGGACCCCTAAACTCTGTAAGGAGCGATTGGGTGAGAGGGAAGAACTGACCCAAAGTCACCCAGCCAGTTTCCATACGTAAGGAAGGATTAAAACACACTTTTCTAGTCTATTTAAGCTTTGTTTCATTTACTGAAGAAATGCAAACTAGATTTTTCCCCATTTGTAGAGAGAAAAACATGTATTAACACTTTTCCCTTTTACAGTTTTCCCACTGATTTCCTAGAACTGTTGCATGTTATCCAAAGGACACAGGAAATGCTGAATTCAGCATCAGCTTCTCAAGAGATAATGTCAGAAAGGTTCTAATGATTTAGTTGATTTTAACAGGCTTTTAATGTTTTTTTCACAAAACTTTATTAAGTAAACTCTAAACTAGGGCATCTGATTATTTGACTCCCTTGGGAGAAATTATAATTATTAGCATGAGGCAACTGTCAATTTTTTATCTATATCTTAAAGGAACTTATCCCAAGTCCCACCAGGTCTTGTTCACCAGAATTCAGACATCCCAGAAAGTCCCCAAGATAGCAGGCAAGCTTGTGCAATCAGAGCCCCCCCCCCTGCTTTTCTATACACCCTATGGCACAAGTATGTATACCATCTTGACTTTTTGATACACATGCACCAACACACATACAGATGCCTTTCTTGTCAGGGGTCACGAAGAGTAGAAATATAGCATTTTAAAACGTTAACAGATGTATGCTTATTTTGACAATTTCCTTGCTACTGGATTTCTTTATTAATAATGTTCTAGTTTATTTGAGAGTCATACCCTTGAATTACTGCCTGCAAGGCTACTAGCTCTGGGCAGGGGAAGCCCAGAACTTGTTTTTCTTACCCAGGAAATGATGGAAAAGAATGAGAAGGCAATGGCTGCTCGTGCCGCATCTCCTCCTTGTGATGCCCCTTTGCTGGCAGGTGTCCGTTGCCACTGGTTGGCCAGAAAGCAGAATGCCACAAACCAGAGAAAGGACCAGAAGCCTGTCAAGCAGAAAAAACAGTCGGCACCCTTGTTGGTTGGATAGATTTCAAGGTAGACCAAGGAACTTGGTCTACCAAAAGGGCTGCTGGAATCCCAGAAAATCAGAGGAGATTATTATCCCCAACAAAGGAAACAAGGAAGACTTGTAAAACTGGAGCTGTCACCTTCATGTCAAAGCAAGGGGCTCAAGCAGATTATTAAATCAGAAGTTTGTGTGTACTTGGACAGCGTGCTCCAATTAATAGGACTAAGCAAGGTTTGTGGCCATCAAATTATGCCAGGCTCACCTTATCTCTTTGGGCAGAATTTCTAACTCAGTAGGTCAGAGGGTGCCTTTAGGCACAGCATAACTGGAACTTTGTTGTAACTCCTCTATATCTCTCCTAAAATTCTCTTGATAAAACATGGGCTAAATTAAAATACTATTAGGTGGCCCCAGCACCGCCACTTCAGCTTGAGAGCAGTTTCAAGTGCTGTGCTGCATGTCTCAGTCCTGGGCTCTGTCCGGTTCAATCACGTATCAGCGACCTGGATGAGAGATTGGAGGGGACGCTTGTAAAGTCTGCTCTGTTGAGAAGAGTGACTAGAGCACAAGCTGAGAAGAGAAGACCCAAAATCCCAAGCCGAAATGAACAGGGAAAAAGAAAAGTCCTGCACTGCAACCCCTGCCTTTAAGAACAGGCAGTGGCTATCTTGGGGTGGAGAAACAGGAGCAGAGCGCAAATCCTGGGGAAGAAACCATGCCATCCTTCTCTGCCCTGGTCAGACCCCAATTGGAACACCACGCCCATTTTGGGGCACCACAGTTCCAATGGGCAGGGACAGACGGGAGAGCGACTGGGATGGAAACCAGCCTGTCAGGAACAGAGAAAGACCTGAGCATGCTCAACCTGCAGGACAGGTCGCTGAGGGGAGATGTGGGGGGGGAAAAACCCAGATGTCAGAAGAGGCCTCGTCTGCTATCCCAAAAGGCAGAGCGAGGACCGCAGCCAAAAGCCCAAGGAAGGGGGCTCCGGCTAGACGTCTGGACCGCACAAGCTCTCACCCATGGCGACGTCTGCTCTGTGGTGGGAGGCAGGCTTCCATCACGGGATCCTGCCCACCGATGTGACTTTTTTACCACCCCCATCCCACCCCCGGATGCCCCCTTGCATTATTTTTAACAATACTGTAATAGGCTTTATTTAGAAGTTCTACTTACGGATAGTCCTCAACTTACAACACTTCAGGTAGTGACCGTTCAAAGTTACAACGGCACTGAAAAAAGTGACTTATGACTGTTTTTCACACTTACGACCATTGCAGCCTCCCCAGGGTCACGTGATCAAAATTCAGATGCTTGACAACTGACCCACATTTATGACATTGGCAGTATCCCAGGTCATGTGATCTGCATGGGCAACCTTCTGACAAGCAAAGACAATGGGGAAGCCAGATTCACTTAACAACCGTGTTACTAACTTAATAACTGCAGGGATACACTTAACAACTGTGGCAAGAAAGGTTGTAAAAAGGGGCAAAACTCACTTAACAAATATTTCACTTAGCAACATAAATTTTGGGTTGAATTGTGATTGTAACTTGAGGACCACCGGTACTGCTTTGTTTTATAATTTAGAACCTATCAGTTCTGTCAGGCTCAGCTTAGCATCTCACAGGGATTCGGCCATCAAAGGCTGGAAGGGGGAGGAAGGACAGAGGGGCAATAAAGCTGTGTGTGTGTGTGTGTGATGGGAAACGGGCAGGGGGGGAATGACAGAGGATAAAGAGTTTGCCCCAGCATCCAAGGCCAGGCACCCTGAGAAAGAATGTGGATTACGGGTTCCAATTGGCTGGAGACGGACTGGTCACGGGGAGGGCTGGGATGAGGGGAAACCTTTCTTTTGAGCGCAGGAAACCCAGAAACGCCTGACTTTACTGCAGCCAACATCTCTAAGTAAAAGAACCTTTCACTTCAACCAAACGGAGTCCAGGGTCTCTCTTTCCTAAGGGATCAGATTTGGGCAGGTCTGACATTAGACGAATTCTGGGTTTCCCACGCTCTCAAAAGAGGTCTGGCAGAACCTTTGCATTATCTTATTAAAAATAAAGGGGCCACGTGTGTGCAGGAAGATCTGCAGCTCCCTCTCTTCCCTTCAATTCCAAGGCAAGCTTCAAAGCGAAAATAGCCCCCTCCACATCATCATCCATGAATGCAGGCAGCTGGAAAATACCCCCAAGGGAAATGTAAAAGCCATTCCCAAATACCTTCCAAATACATTGGGAAGATGGGAGGAAAAAGAACATCTGAGAAATTGTAAAACAGATTTTAGCACAATGTTATTGCCTGAACTGCCTGTTTTTGTTTTCCTTTGGTTGGATTTCCATAGGAATTGAGCACAACTAAACATTTTCCTTCTTCGCACATCTGAAGTTGGTCAAACACTTTGTAAGACATGCTTGTGCCAGCCCATCCAGGCTTTGTCCATGGGCAGCTGTGGCACAAAGCCATGCTCACTGGATCCACTAGTTCAGGCTGATGGTGTGTGCTTTAGCCTGTTTGGGGAATGAGGCTGTGATGCAAAGCCATTATATTGTTTGTGGATACAAGAATGTTTAGTGAACCTGGCTTGACTACGTGGGGTGTTAAGTCAAGCTCCTTGCTCCCCCCCATCAGACATACCGGAAAAGCCAAGGTCCAAGAGGACAAGGCGCCTCCTCTCCTTCACGCTGCTGATCTGCTGGAAGTAGACATCCATCGCCAGGAAGAAGCTGCAGGCCAGGAAGGCCAGCAGCCCAATCGCGATGCCATAGTTGCAGGCTCCTTCATTGCTGTTGAAGATGCAGCGCAGCACCGGGGACTTGTCTGTGTTCACATAACCCTCATTGATGATGGAGCCAAACACCACAATAGAGAGCACCTGCAATTGGGGGGGGGGGCAGGTGAAGGAAAGAGAGGAACAATGTGCAGTTGAAACCTCAGCTCTTTCCAAAAGGGTTCATATTATACCATATTTCATTTCTGGACCACCCTCAAAACATATGTCAGAGAAAACACGCTAAAACATATCAAGGGAGGATCAAGAACGCCTATATTTGTGTATCTGGAGAAGGTCTTCATCCTCTGATTATTGTATAAAACATACATCGCAAGGGGGAAATGTTTGGGAAGGGAAGAGGAAAAACAAGTACAAGCTCGTCCCTATCAAAACTTGACCAGATGACAACAGCGCATGCCTCTGTGATGGGGGCCAGCAGAGTCAGTTTCAAAGAGCATTTTAAAGAACCACAGATGGTTTCTAGCATATGTGGCAGAAGCAACCAAAGCAGCCCAGAGGAGCTAAGTCGGTCCCCGGGGCCAGGGGGCTGGAGGAACTGCAGGGCTTTCTGACCAGAAGAGATGAGCAGCGCTTGGAAGCTGCTTGGAAAAAAAAAAACCCTGAAAGGCTGGAAAAAACCAGGACTGATTATTGTCGCTCTATCACTGGAGATCTTTAAGAAGAGACTAGACAATCACCTGTCTGAGATGGTGTAGGTTCTCCTGTTTGATCAGGGGGCTGGATTAGAAGACCTCCAAGGTCCCTTCCAATTCAATTCAATTCAATTCAGTTCAGTCCTGTCCTGTCCTGTCCTATCCTATCCTATCCTATCCTATCCTATCCTATCCTATTCTATACTATTCCTTGAAGGAAATCAGCTCTTCCAGCTGGAGGGCAGCAACTAATCAACCTCAGTTTCCCACAGAAATCCAGGCAGGATGGAAAGCCATTACTCTTGGGATGAGAAACCATGAGGACTCCTAAGATGAGGGGAAAAAAAATAAAGGCAGGATGGCTGGCATTTGCCCAGCTCTCCTGCCCATCTATTCATGCTCAGCCCTGTTTTTCTCCAACCTGGAAACATATTCCCCCGAGTACAAAAATTCAAAAAACCCTCTCTTCTGTTTAAAAGACTCCAAGAAAAACCCAATCCAAGTTTGGAGGGGTGGTAGGGAAAGGGAAGGAAACATTTTTTGAAATGGGCATAATTATTTATTTTCACTTTAATTGTGAAACTATAATTATAATCCCAACAACAGTACAAAGGACCAGTGGCGTTTTCAGAAGGCAAGAAATTCCGAGCCTCCCTTGGTGTTGGCAGAGATGCTGCGGTGTCATAAACATCCAGGTGTGTTTCAGTTCCTAGGAATGTCAACTATAAAAGACAAAAGTGTAGCTGCTCAGAGTGACGGACAGCCCAGCTAGGAAAAGATTCCACAGGAAGCGCCAACTGTATCTGATGGAGAGCCAGGAAGAGACTTCAGGGGAGCATGGAGAATGGAGCTGAAAGGCTGAAGAGAGGAAGCAGAGGATTGTAAGCCACATTGTGTGTGTGTTTTAATCATATTGTAATTCTTATCTTATTGATTCTGCTAAGCAGTTAAGCAAAAACTTCATTTTGCATTGCAAAGGACTATTGAGAAAAGAAATAATCCAATGCCATCTTGCAGGCAAAAGCTAGTTAGCAGGAAGAGGGAAGAGGCCACTTGGGTTCTTCCCAACTTCATTCAGAATCAGAATAGAGCTGGAAGGGACCTTGAAGTTCTTCTAGTCTTCTAGTCCAACCCTATACCATTTCAGATAGGTGGGTGTCCAATCTTTTCTTTAAAACTTCTAGTGATGAAGCACCCACAACTTCTGACCTGCAAGCTATTCCACTGGTCAATTGTCCTTGCTGTTAGGAAGTTTCTCCTTAGTTCTAGGTTGCTTCTCTCCTTGATTAGTTTCCATCCGTTGTTTCTTGTCTTGCCTTCTAGTGCTTTGGAAAATAAGTTGACCCCCTCTTCTTTGTGGCAGCCCCTCAAATACTGGAATAGTGCTACCATATCACCCCTAGTCCATCTTTTCTCTAGACTGGCCATACTTAAGTCCTGTTATGTTTCTTCACATGTTTTTGTCTCCAGGCCCTTAATCATCTTAATTGCTCTTCTTTGCACTTTTTCCTAAAGTCTCAACATCTTTTTTGTAATGTGGTGACCAAAACTGGATGCAGTATTCCAGGCACGGTCTTACTGAGATTTGACAAAAGTACTAGTGGCCCCATACAACCAGCTAAACTATTGTTTTATCAATTAAGCACAGAGTTGTAGAAAATCGTTGAGAAGAGAATTAGTTTTTTTTGGCTGCTGCTGCACACTGCTGGCTCATATTTAAGTGATCGTCCACTAGGACTACAAGGTCCCTCTCACAGTTACTGTTTTTTATTTGTACATTAAATTTCATGTTGTTGGATAGGGCCCATTGTTCATGTCTGTCAAGATTTTTTTGGATCCTGAGCTTGTCTTCTGGGATGTTGATCATGCCTGCCAGCTTAGTGTCATCCGCAAATTTGATGAGTTCTCCTTCTATTCTCTCATCTAAGTAATTTATGAAGATATTGAAGAGTACTGGGCCTAAGGCAGAACCTTATGGTACTCCACTGCTTACTTCCCTCCATGTACAGTAGATGTAGTACCATTAAGGATTACTCGTTGAGTACGGTTTGTCAGACAGTTACAAATCCATCTGGTGGTGATGCTGTCTATCCCACATTTCTCTACTTAACCAAGAAGTAGGTTATGGTCTACTTTGTTGAATGCCTTGCTGAAGTCTAAATATACTATGTCCACAGCATTTCGCTGCTGTAAGGACCCACCCCACTTTGCATCTTAAGAAGACAGAACTCTTGGAATAATTCTTCCAACAGGAATCCTTTATTAAGAGAAAATGGTTGCAGGCATGCTAGACAGGACTTGGGGTTCAAGCTCTTCCATTCAAGGTTTTAAGGGGTTCCCCAGTAGTCCCACCCAATCAACCCCCCTTCCAGTGATAGTTTCAAGTATCACAATTCCACCCCCTTTCTTCTTTCTTCCGTCTGAATGGAGACTTCAGGTAACTACATGAAAGGCAAGTATCCTGCTTTGTTATGATAAGGTTCTCTAGTGCTAACGCTTTGATGTTACAATAAACACACATTCAGCATTCAGCTCTTTGAAGTGTACTGAAGGAAGTGAGGGCCATAAAGCCCCTTTGTTCTCCCCCTTCTCTCCCTCTTATGGCAGAATCCAAAGAAGGCAGAATTGGGAGTTTCTATATTTGATAATTAAAGATGAAATATGATTGGATTCTGACATCCGGCCCCTCTTAAAAATAAGAGAGATCCACCTGAAAGAAAACACAAGTATAAAATTTAGTTAGGCTTGTTAGGATACTCTGTGTGAAACTTCTTCAATAGCTTTGGGGCTCTGACATGACGTTTATGGACCCACTCATTTTGTGAGGGAGGGAGGTGTTTCCAGGCAACTAGGTACTGAGTTGCTCCATGATATCTCCTAGAGTCAAGGACTTCCTTTATTTCGAAGTGTTGTTCACCCTCCACCATGATTGGAGGTGGTGGTGGGGGGGATTTTTGGCCGTAGAGGTGACTGATGCTCTCTTTTCAGCAAGCTGCAATGAAAAATTGGGTGTATTTGCCTGAGATTTTTGGGTAATTCTAATTCTACTGTTACTGGATTTATGATTCTTTTAATTGGAAAAGGTCCTATATATTTTGGTCCAAGTTTTTTACAGGGCTGTAGGGACTTTAGGTATTTTGTAGATAAGTACACCATTTCTCCTATAATGAATGGTGTAGGCTCAACCCTTTTTTTATCGGCTTGTGTTTTATATGCCTGCCTAGCTTCATCTAGTGCTTTTCTGACTATTGGCCAGGTGTTTTGTAATTTCTCCATCCATTCTTTCAGCGAGGGGATCGTTGGTTCGTTTGGGGTTAATTCTGGCATGGGGTTGAAACTTTGACCGGTGGCTATTTGAAAAGGAGTGTAACCTGTGCTGGAGTGGACTGCATTATTGTAGGCAACTTCTGCAAAAGGGAGTAAGTCCGCCCACTCGGTCTGCTGGAAACTAAGAAAACATCTTAAATATTGCTTAAGTACGGAGTTCATTTTTTCAGCCCCCCCCATTTCCTTGAGGGTGGTGGCTAGATGTCAGTCCCTGAGTGGTTCCTAAGAGGGATAAAAATTCCTTCCAAAATGCAGACGTAAATTGCACCCCCCTGTCAGAGATGATGCGTTGGGGTGCCCCATGCAATCTGTAAATGTGTTGGATGAAAAGTTTTGCTAAGGCTTTTGCAGTGGGAATCTTTTGGCAAGGGATAAAGTGCACCTGTTTGGAAAACAAGTCCGTGACCGTCCAGACCACAGTATTCCCATTGCTTTCTGGCAATTCCACTATAAAATCCATGGCTATTTCTCTCCAGGGGGCTGAGGGACTTGCCACTGTTTGCAATAGTCCTGGCACTTTCCCTTGCAACCTCTTTGCCGTGGCACATTTTGGACAACTGGCTATATAACTTTCAATGTCCTTTTTCATGGATGGCCACCAAAATTGCCGTTTAATTAAATGTAAAGTTTTTACAAATCCAAAATGCCCTGCTGATTTTGTGTCATGGCAAAGGTGCATGAAAGTTACTCTTTGAGTTGTTGGTATATATAACTTTTCCCCTACCCAAGGCAACCCGTCTCTCATTGTGCACACATTTTGTTTTTCTGGAACCAATCATCTGTTTCCAAACTTTTTCTGAATTCAATCCCAGTTTGGCTGTCCAGTTGTGGTTTTATTTTGGCTTGGGTTCTTGTGGTTACTGGTGCTGCCAGTTGTGACTCTGCCATTATTGGTCTAGAGTCTGTGGTTCGTGCGCTGTTATATTGGGGCATGCGAGATAGAGCATCTGCCAGGAAGTTCTTTCTTCCTGGTAAATGTTTGAGCTTAAATTGGAATTGGTGAAAATGCTGGGACCAGCGGGCTTGTTTGGGATTGAGTTTCCTGGAAGTTTTCAGGGCTTCTAAATTTTTGTGATCAGTCCACACCTGGAAGGGGATTTTGTTGCCTTCCAGGAACTGTCGCCACGTGAGTAATGCCCAACGTATCCCATAAGCCTCCTTCTCCCATACGGTAATAATAATAATAGCTGCTCTATTAATTTAATCACTTTGTCAAAGAAATAAGATTGGTTTGGCATGACCTGTTTTTAACAAACCCATGCTGGCTACTAGTTATGACTTTGTTTTTAGATGTTCACAGATCTGTTTCTAACTTCCTAACATTCTAGACAGCCTTTGGACTCTGGATACATCACCCCAAAAGGAGTCATCTGATTTTGAAGGGGTTAATGCTTAGGGATCGAACTTTCTTTTCAAGAAAAGGCCGAACTATCTTAAACCCAAAAAGGCAGGGGTCCCAAACCCCCAGTCTGTGGACTAGTACCGGGCCATAGCATTCCAGCAACCGGTCCGCACAAACAAGCAAAGCCCCATCTGTGGGATGCAGGCAGAACACAAAACCACGCCCCCTCTGGTCCATGGAAAAACGTCTCTCCACGGAACTGGTCCCTGGTGCCCAAAAGGTTGGGAGCCTCTGCAGTAAGGTATCCTTTAACATATGCCTTAGATCAGGCATGTCAAACCCGTGACATTATGTGACGTCGCGCAACGTATCGGAGCTTTTTCCCCGTTGCCGGCAATGGAATGGTGATGTGCCCGGCCCACGGGCCGGCAGTTTGACCCCCCTGCCCTAGATGGCAGAGAATTGGCTTGCCTCAAGCCAAGAGTGTCTACATGATTTGTGGAAGCAGCTTCTCCCAAGCCAAGCTGAGACGAAGGCTGTACCTGCCAAGGAATTCCTGGGCCCAGAATATTCAGGGTTGTTTTCCATGGGCTGTTAGCTTTTTTTGGGGGGGGGGACATTAATCACATGGGTTATTATTTATTGTATGGCATATTCATGTCACATAAAAATATAAAATATTATATTTAGATTACAGATATAATCTTTTGTTTCATTTGTCACAGCCAGGAAATCAGCAAAGTCTCCATTATAGGCTCCATTTTGGAATTCTGTCACTCTATCTTGGATAGCTTGTTTTTCAACCCCACAGTCATAATTTGGTGAAGGTATTTTGCCTCCCTTATAGAAGGCATCAGCACATCTACCATAGATGGCAATGACTGTTTGTGTCCATGACATTCCTTAAGTCACACGTGTCTCCTGGGTGGTACTAAAGAAGTCACTTCAAGACGAAACCTCTATAGCCTCAAAGATATAGCAGCAAGTTAACCCTCGTGATCTCCTGGCTGTATTACATCACATCACATCATACTAGATCACAGGGAGATCCTTCATGAAATGATCCCTTGGGATGCTGGTTTTATGGGACAGATTGATTTCACAGATGCTCTACACAAGCATAGAAGCCCCCAAATTTAAAGGACAACAGCTATGCCACAGAAGCAGTTGGTTGAGTTACCCATGGATGGGACAGCCTTAGATATGAGTCTGAGCAACTGGAAAACTATGCCAATTACAGCAGTAACAGAACAGTCCTGGATGCTGTTCATTGCCAGGAAAACATATAGAAGTTTACAGGCACTTGTTTACAGGCACTTGGTTGCTAAGGTGAACAAATATCACCTGCTACAGAAGGGTTTGCAAACAAAAGGAAGTCTCAAGTGGCACAAAGGACACTCCAATACACATATGGGTGGAATATGAAGAAGGTTCACAATGTATTTAAAGGTAGGCTAAATATCAAATGGGTATTTTTTTACTACTTTTTCACTAGTATCACTCAGTTAAAGTTTCATAATTCTAGAATCCAATTTTATGCTTAGTGGCAGTTTTATATTGCAATTTCATAACTAATTCTCTCAATAGATGGCTTTAAGTACTTGAATAAATTACAAAAAAGCATTTTTTTTTCAATCGCAAACTCTTAAAAATTTCCAAGTCCTTGGGGAAATGTTTTAATTTGTGTCACAGATAGGCCAAAATAACAGTCAGGCTTTTGATGATGGGGCAGGAGGTGGGGGATTCTTTAGCAAATTAAAGATGTCAATCCAAATTATGTTGCTGAATCTCAGGAGCTAAATGTTTATCACACAAGAAATTTTTCTTCTGCAATGGAATCTTTGCTGTGTTGAAACCTGTCATTTTTACAAGGGTGGCCCTTGAATAAATTAAATATCTTGGGTTGAAAATTTTATTTAATTTAAATGTCCCCTAATCTCAGGAATGAACAAACCTGAAACAGCTTAAACAGTTTAAAGTTTGATCTATTTTAAGTGATCGGATACTCTGCACCAGTTCATTTTTGAAAATGTAAAGGTTTCTCTCCTACTTCAAGCAAAGCAGAAGCTAATTAGGAAATCTATCTGCTTCTGTCTTACACAGCAGTCCAACTTCAAGCGGTGGGAGGTGTGGATGGAGAGGAAGGAGGCAGAAGAATGGGAAGATTATGAGGTGCTCATAGTGACGCTCAGCCAAACTAGGTGATCATTAGCCAGACTCAAGAGTTGGTTGCATAATTGCTTCCAAAAATATGTTTCAATGGCTCCACATTAAACTGGAAAGAAGTATCAAAGGACACACGGCAGAGCTCTGAGATGTTATTTATAAATGAGTTACAAGAAGGGCTTGGAAAACATGATTATTGAAATTAAGGACGACACAAAAAAGAATGATAGCAAACACCTTATCAAGATTTAGGACCACCTCAACAAGCGAGAAATACCATTATAGATTGCACCCAAAATATCATTGGAACAAAACGAGGAAAATGGCAGGAACGGTGGATCCAAAACAGACTGTGGAAGCTGATTGATGAAAGAAAAGTTATAAAACTAAAAGAAGACCAGCCAAAGATGTGGATGAAATGGAAAAAAAATCGAACTGGAAATATATAGAGTTTCACTGGATGGTGAAGAGAAGTTGCTGGAAAGAAGCAGCCAATTAGAATGATTCCAAAACTTTTATTACATCACTAACAAAGTGGAATGAGGAATGGCTCCAGTGTTCCAATAGAATAGAAATAGGATAGGGATAGGGAGAAGAACAGAACAGAACAGAAAAGAGAATAGTTGGAAGGGACCTTGGAGGTCTTCTAGTCCAACCCCCTGCATATACCATTTCAGACAAATGGCTGTCCAGTCTCTTTTTAATCCATTTAATCAATCAATTAAATTTAATTGATCAATTTAATCAATGAAGAATAAGAATGGGAAGCTTCTGGTCACGCAAGATGAGTAGAATAAAAAATGGTTTTAACACTTCCGGGAAATTCTTAACCAGCCAAACTCGCTCACTATATACAATTTTAATGAAGAGTGTGCCTATTAAGAGTTTCAGGTGAATACTGTGAAATTGCAATTGAAGAAATAAAAATGGCAATTCGAAGCCTTAAAAACAACAAGGCAGCTGGCTTAGATGAGATCTTAAAACATGGCAGACGGGCTGTGGTGAAAAAGCTGACAACATAGTTGAATAAATGTTAACAAAAGGGTGCAGTTCCAGAGGACTGGCAAAGAGGAGCTAATCCCCAAGAAAGGGAACATCCAGAATGCACCACCTGGCAGGGCATCACCCTCCTCTCAGTGCCTGGAAAGATCTTTGGCATAATTCTCCGTAGGCAGCTGCAAAGTGCCATATACCAATACCTGAGAGAAGAACAAGCCGGATTTTGCTGTGGAAGGTCCTGTGTGAATAAATCTTCACCTTACAAAATATCATAGAACAGTGCATTGAGTATCGACATCCACTGGCCATCCACTTTATTGATTTTAAGAAACTTTTTGGCAGCGTCCACTGGGAATCTCTCTGGCAGATCCTACATTTATACGGTGTACCAACGGTCTTCATTACTATCTTTAAGGACTTACACCTATGATCAAGCTGCTGCGTTAAGGCCAGAAATGGCCATATGGACTCTTTGAAATTACTAGTCGGTGTATTCTGTCCCCTGCTCCTCTTCCTCGTGGCCCTCAACTACGTTATGATAAACATCACGCACAAGGAAAAGCACTCATTATTCTGACCAAGACTGCCTTGGTGACCTGATTTTGCAGATAATATTGCCCTACTTGAGGAAGACAAGATGAAACTACAACAACTGACGACTGTTTTAGCTGAAGAAGCAACCAAAATTGGCCTCAGGATAAGTGCCAAGAAACAGAAAATCATTTATGTGAGCTCCACCGTGCAGATACAGGGAATCACACTTGGATCACAGCGACTTGAGTAAGTAGGAAGGTTTACCTGTTTGGGTAGTATAATTGCACAAAATGCAGAGATGGACGTTAAATGCTGCATTGGAAAAGCAACAGCTGTTTTAAAGAGGATGAATAAAATCAGGCCCACATCATCTATATCACTGGAACTTAAACTCCGTTTGCTCACTTCTATAGTGATCCCAGCAGCCAGCGAGACTTGGAAGATGTCAGCAAGTATTAGCAAAGATGCCTTCGCTGAATCCTAAAGATTTGCTATTTTGACCCTATTACTAGCAAAGAAGCGCTCCAAAAGAGTTTCTCCTGCACACTACATAGCACTGTTGAATGCAGAAGACTCCAACTTGCAGGTCATATTCTCTGCATGGATCCCCACTCTGGTTGCTAAGCTTGCTTAAACCCTCTTCGTCCACCTCCTCCTCCTCACCAGAGCCCCCTCTGTCTGCAACAGTGGGGCAGGAAGACCCGGGCCGGGGATGATGGGGATCTGCCCTCTGCAGAGTAGGGGCAGGGTCACTATGCTCCCTGTCAATCAGGTTTGATTTCCTTTCTTCCCCCCCTCTCCCTGCCTTTGGGGGATAGCCAACTAGCACCCCGATATGCCCCCCATGCCCCCACTTCAATGGCAGAAGCCGCATCCTTCCCCCCCCCCCCCAAAGCCTCTGCAATCACCTTTCGGCTTCTTTGAGTGAACCAGAAGGAGAGAAGGGGGTAGAACAGTGCAAAGATTAATGTCAGAGAAACAGGCACAAATTTCCCATTAAAAGGGTGGTAAGTGGGTGTACAGATACTCATCAACCTATGAGCACAACTGAGCCCAAAATTTATGTTGCTAGGTGAGAAATTTTTAAATGAGTTTTGTCCCATTTTACGATTTTTCTTGCCACAGTTAGTAACACTGTTGTGAATCTGGTTTCCCCATTGATTTGCTTGTCAGAAGGTTGCAAAAAGAGATCACATGACTCTGGGACACTGACCGTCAAAAGTATGAATCAGTTGCCAAGCATCCAAATGTAAATCACATGACCCTGGGGATGCTGCAACAGTCAGAAGTGTGAAAAATGGTCATAAGTCACTTTTTTCAGTGCCGATGTAACTTCAAACAGTCACTAAGCGAAGTGTTGTATCACTGTTTTCCTTTTTGGGGGGCTCATCAAGTTTTTGACACCTTGCTAGGTGACTGGCGGTACTCAAATATTGCCATATCCGAAAAGTGGTACAGTGGGTGAAAGGGTTGAAAAGCCCTGCACTAGGACACCTAGATCCCTCACCCAGTTACTACTCTTGAGCAGCTACCACCTCTTCTGCATCTATACATAATGGGCTTAACTTACAGGACAGTAGATTTCAAATGGACACCAGGAACAATCGCATAACGGTGAGAGGCGCTTGACCATGAAAGAGGGGCCTTGGGAAGCAGCAGTGGATTCTTCTTCATTACAGCTGTTGGAAAAGAAGCTGGATGGCTGCCATGGTTGCTATAGTGGATTTCTACACTGAGCAGAGGGTTGGACTAGATAACCTCAAGAACCCGTCCAACCTTTACATTCTGTGATTCTAGAAATGCACCTTACTCAGAGCCCAACTCTGGTAGCATTATGGATGGAACTATGTTCCTGAGGCCATCCCCGATTTATCTCCAATTCTTAGGTCACTGTTTCTTTTTTCAACGAAATCTACCAATTTCTCAAGACACAACCGCAGCTCCTCTACCTAAAAATAACTCTCAGTGACGGACTACTGCAGGCAGTCCTTCACTTACAGCCACAATTGGGACCAGAATTTCTGTGGCTAAACAAGGAAGTTAAATGATTTTATGACCGTTTTTCCACAATTGTTAACTGAATCACTAGTTGTTAAGTGGGTCATGTGGTCATCAAGCAAATCCAGCTTCCCCCCCTAATTCTGCTTATTGGAAGCCAGCCTGGGAAGGTTGCAAAGGGCAGCCCCTTGATCCTGGGAGGGTTCGAACCTCCCAAGCACCCAAACTTTCATCCTGAGCTGGTGGGGGTGCTGTGCCAGTCGCAAGTGGGAGGACTTTTTTCAGGGCCACTGAAGCTTTAGAGGATTGTTCAATGAACGGCTGCGAGGCAAGGACCTCCGGCAGTGATATTATTGCAGCCATTTTTACATAGAAGAAGCAATCCGAGCTTGTTTCGAATGAAGGTGAATCTACCTTGCAAGATCCCGTCTGGGTCGGTCACCGGGACTGGAGGCTTCCTCTCCCAAGCTTTCAGACTCGGGCTGGAGCCCCCCATCCTCAAGGAACGTCTCTCTGCCGGAACGTTACATGCTCAGCACGAGTCCGGAAGCTCAGAAGACGAGGCCTCTGTGCCCGGTGACCGATCCCGATGGGACTCCAAATTTGTTTGTTCTTGCCTCCAGACGTTATGGGTGCTATTGAAGGCCTTTTAAAGAGACTGGACAGCCATTTGTCTGAAACGGACTAGGGTCTCCTGTCTGAGCAAGGAGTTGACTAGAAGACCTCCAAGGCCCCTTCCATTATTCTATATTCATGTGCTTTCCTACCCAAAGAACAAAGAGGAAAAGGGCCACATTTGGAGGGAAGAAATAGCCAAGGAGCAGTCATCACACCAGAACTGCTTCCCTGGTGAGGACGTGAAAGTTGCTGTTCTCACGTAGAGGAATTTCCGAGGGAGATTCCAGCTTGTGACAATGATACATTTGGCTTCCTTCATCTCTTGAGCTCAGCATCCACATCATGGAAGCTCGTCCACTGCAGGCTGGATGACTCAGTTATTGTTGCATCTTGTGACTGAGAACAGCATCCTTAAGAATCCTCAAGATTCCCCAGCAGAAACTTGTTGACAAGGTAATAAACTTTGCATTGTGTGATATACTAATGCAAAGTTTAGCAACAGTAAACAAACAATCTCATATGACACAGAGAAATCTTGAGGGCCTGCAGAAACCATTTGAGTGAGGCTCTGAGCTGTTCAGCATGTTTACCGCAGGCCTCGAAACCTTGCAGAGGGGCTGCCTACCCAATTTGCAGCTGCTGCAGCTCTGGGAGAGGCAGTCAGCTTTACAGAAGAAGGGTGGGCAGACTGATGCCAACCTTCACCATGTATTGATGACTTGGCTGATTTTAACTTGGTTTGGAAGCCCAGTCACTTGCCCAGAAATAAAGGCAAAAACCCAGTCAAGCTGACAGAAGCATTTCGAGGGAAGCAATCTTACTCATTTCCCTTCTGATAGGTGGGCATTTGGGAAATAGTCATGGCCATTTTGGGAGCTCAGTCATTAATAAGTCCAGCCCATGGCAGCCATTTTGTGAGAATGCCCACAACATAGAAGATAGTTTGCTAGCAGCAAGTGCTGCTCAGAATGGGCAATCACCTTCAGGAGGTGGGTGGGGAAGTTAAAATAAGGGCTGCTTGCGGTTGTAGCCTAACAGCTGCCAAGAGGATCTCTCTGGGTTTGATCAGCAGCAATTGCTGCTGCATCTAAGTGGCCAGTTCCTCTCTGGGGCTGCTGGAACCCTCCAGACTGCAGACTGCAGCCTGAGCAGGACAGTTCTGTGAACAGGCTACTCCTGCCTGTTTTATTGGTTTCCACTGATCCTCTCAAAACACAGAGAGACGAACAAGAAACCTAAAGGCTGAAAAGGTGGTCTTTAAACAATATGGCCCTTGGCGACAAACATGTTGCTGTTCTGGCACACAACACAGAAGCCGTTAAAAATGTCACACTGTTACTATCACAGATAATTTCCTTCCCTTTCATGACCATACATTATTTCTCCCCCTCCCCTGTCCATAAACACATGTATTTTCCAGAAGATAATTCATAGCTGAATAAGGCCAAAACATTTAAATAGGCCAGGGAAAGATCTAATTTTAAGTTATGAGAACTTCAACTCCCAGAATTCCCCAGCCAGCAAGCTGTGCTGGGAAATGCAGATTAAAGAATTCTGGGAATTGAAGTCCACACAGCTTAAAGTCACTAAGTTTGAGAAACACTAGTCTAGTGACTGCCTGGGTTCAGATGCTACTTCTGGCTAATTTTAATCTGGTTTATGATATTGGATAGTGCATTCATGGTATTGTGCAGGTCCAGAAAATGGGTTAATTCAGGAAATGAGTTTCCATGTGATCTGAGGAAGTGGAGAATATGTAATACACTGTGTATGCTCAGATGACAACCTCCTCTAGAGATTATACTTCAGTCCGAGTTAAGACGTTCAAAACAAGTTATGAAGGAAAACCTGTCTTCGAAGTACTGTATGCTTCATGACGGTGTTTTCCTTTTGACTTAAAACGTTAAACCAAAGACTACAGGTTCCCCCCTCCTAACATTTTCCAGTATAGATTTTCAATCCTTTCCTTTTTAATTATTTTACTGGTAGTAATTCGCATAATTGCCTGTAGACTACGAATGACATTACCTAAAAGCCGAGAGGCTGAAATACCCACCATCTTCCTCACCCGAGAAGACGGCGAGAAATCCCTTCTGCCCTTCAAAAGAGGCAGCAGAGCCGCAGCGGCTTCGGCCCGCAGCGGGAAAGCCCACCCGGGAGGGGGAGCCTCGCCAAGGAGGGGCCGGGGCCTCCCGTCGCCGCCGAGGCGGGGCAGGAGGGCGGCTCTGCCCCGGAGGCCCCTGTCAAAGCCCCGAGCCCGCTCCCCCAAAGGCGGCAGCCGTCCTCTGCCCTCGGCCCGGCGGGAGGCCTCGGTCGCTTCCCCGCCGCCGAGCCGGGAGTCCGCGGGCGCATCGGGAGCCCCCCGAGCTGCTGGCCGCGGCTCTGGGCGAGAGCGAGACGCCGCAATCGGCGCTTCCGTCACGTCTGGCCACGGGGGACGGCGGGCCGGGTTGGCAGGGGGGGCCGGAGGGGTCGGGGCCGCCCAGCAGGAGCCCCCCCGGAAACCTCCAGGGGTCCATCGGATCGCTGGAGAAACGGGGGGAGGGGCCGGCCGGTTCTCCCCTTCTCCGACCAGGCACCTTCCCGGCTCCCGGGCTGGCTGCGGATGATGGGGCGAGGAGGAGGAGGAGGAGGAGAAGCTCCCCGGCCTCGGAGCCCCGCGCCACGGAAGGCGAGAGGAGCCGAGCGTCCCCGGGCTGAGGCGCCGCGCCTTTTCCGCGGGCAGCGACGGGCATCGGGGGGGGGGAGGAAGGGGGCTCTTACCCCGGCGAGGACCCTGAGGAGAGTCTGGGGCCGCTTGGCGAATTCCGCCGGCTCCACCGCCGCGCCCGCCCGCCCGGCTCCGAAGGAAGCGCCCTCCATCGTTCCGCCGCCGCCTCGAGCTGCGAAGGCAAAGAGGGGAGGGGGCGGCGGCGGCGGCAGCGGCAGCGGCGGGCGGGGACGGGCGAGCTGGCGCCACCACCTGCCCGCCCGCCCGCCTGCCGCGCAGCCCGCGCTGCTGCCGCTCCTGTCGCCGCTGCCCTGGCCGATCCGCGGCGCCCCGGCCCGAGACGCCGCCCGCCCGCCCGGAGGGGCTCCCCGGACCCGTCCCTGGCGGTGGGGGGTGCCGACGTTCGCGCCGACCCGAAGGGAAGATCTGCATGGAGCCTCGGTCCTCTTTTTATCCTCGCCCAACCCGGAGAGGGAGGAAAACCGCTGTTTATCGGCCCCACGAAGCTAAGACGCCGCCAGCCTTGGCCAGCCTCGTTGCCCACCCCAGTTCGACTACCCCAGCCCATTATCTTCATTCAGTTATGAGCTTTGTAGTCCAGCCTACCTTGGACGCCGACCCCTATTGGGTTACTGTACTCTACACTGAAATCCTCTGGGTTTGCTCGTTTGTGCTTGGCTTGCCAACTCCAGAAGTGCCAATAAAGGTTATTGTAAGCAATGGTTAAGCTAGCAAACTGCTTACTTAGCATGTTGAGAGATGCAGCTTTGATAATGGGTCCTATTCTTTCCAAGAAAAGGTTTAATCTAGTTGGCCCAATATCTCCCTTGCATCAGGACCAGTCACAATCACAATCATAAATGTAGCTTGTGTTCATGTAGCTGTGCAGGTTAAGGGCATATCTATGTCCATACCTTATGCAAGGTGTTAGTATTTTAAGTAGACAGATATAATCCACTTGTAGTGCAATACAAGCCATGTATTTTGACCACAGTGACAACCTTGTGAGGTAGGCTGCCCTAAAAGCGATGAGTTGCCCAAATCCCCCGGGGAGCTTCTGCAGCTGAGGTAGAACTGGAACCCATTTCCCCCTGCTCCTGATCCAACCCCTTCTCCGCTAGGTCCTCACACCACATCTTTGCCTGTTCCAGGCATGTGGAGATCAGTCCTAGCTCCTTCAGTTTTTTACCTTACTTGGAGATGACAGATTTCTGGAAAGCAAAGGCTGGTGAATGGCTGTGCGAACTCAGTGAACTGGCTTTATTTCTTCTACCATTATTAAGCACACCATGGCCTAGCATAATGTTCAAAGACACTGGTTTTAACATCTGTTTCTAGAGCATGCCAAGGGCCTTCTTCACCCATAGCAAAGTACAGGAGTCTGGACAAGCCACGAAGACGTGATTGTGTCCTCAATTGTGTAATTTGCATCAGCTATATCAAAGCTGTACAATAAGGGACGGTAAAAGCTGGTTTGGTTGCTAGATAAATGTCTTGCTTTTCACTCAGCCAGCATCAATTTAGAATAACAGAGTTGGAAGGGAACTTGTAGGTCATCTAGTCCAACCCCCTGCCCAAGCAGGAGACCCACCATTTCTGACAGATGGTGGTCCAGTTCTCTTCTTGAAAGCTTTCAGTGATGAAACTCCCACAGCATCTGAAGGCAAACTGTTCCATTGGTTGATTGGTCAGACAGTTTCTCCTTATTTCCAGGTTGAATCTCTCCTTGATCAGTTTCCATCCGTTATTCCTTGTCTGGCCTTCAGGTGCTTTGGAAAATAAGTTGATCCTCTCCTCTCTGTGACAGCCCCTCAGATATTAGAACACTGAGCATTTGTATACAGGCATTTGAGACCTTATGTCTGACTCTGGGTATGCTTCCCACGTCTCCTATTTGGTGTTTGAGTTGTCTTCCTTCCCATCCCTCCTTACCTCATTATTTAATTTGTTTTCCAGAGGTTTTTGCTTGGAATTAGGTCCTGGAGATCCTAAGATTGGTCACTCTCCCCCCTCAGTTTTAGATTAAAGCCATCCTGATAAGTTGAGCCAGGAGTTTTCCAAAAACATTCTTCCCAGTTTTTGTGAGGTGCAGCCTGTCCTTTGCCAAAAGCCCATCATGGAGGTAGTGCAGACTATGGTCCAGGAATCCAAAGTTCTTTTGGTGACACCAACCCTTTAGCCAGTGGTTTGCTTCTAGGATCCTTTATTTTCTTACTGCATGTTGACCTTTTGTTGGAAGTATAGATGAAAAAAACTACTTGTGCACCTAACTCCTTGACCTTCTTGCTAGCTGTTCGTAATCACTCAGTATTGTTTTCGGGTCCATTTGTCCCTACCTGTAGTAGTAGGAAAGGGTAGTAATCAGTAGATTTTATTATTTTGGTTAAGTTCTCAGCCACATCTTTGATTTTTGCTCCAGGGAGACAACATACCTCTCTGGATTGACTATCTGGTCTATAGATGGCAGATTCTGATCCCTTGAGAATAGAATCTCCTATCACCGCCTTATTTTTCCTAGGGAATTGTGCGGTATTTTGCTATCACAGAAGCACTTGAGGTTGCTACTATTTTGGGGACACTTGATGATGCTTCTTTTCTAGGTGTCTGCATGTTTTCTTCCAGGGACACTCTATGAAATCGATTGCTCAGCACCAGTGGGGCTGCATCAAAGTGGGCTGGACAGGGGTTTTGTTCTAGGTTTATGTTTTTTTCTGTGAGTGACATGTTTCCATCTTTCTCCTTCTAAGCGATCAATTCTTTTAGAATTTGTCTGATCATTATTATGTTCAATTTGGGCACATTCTTCTTGCAAGGTTTAGGGGTTCTTGGTTTGTAGTTTTAGTTTCAAAGTGGTTAGAGTTTCCTCTAGACCAGGTCTTTTCAACTGGTGGTACGCATACCACCTGTGGTACTTCAGCACCTGGCTGGTGGTACACGACCCCTTGCCAAGTGTAGCGGGGGAGGGAACAGCTAAAGCAGCGCTGCACAGATCTGGAGATCAGCTGGAGCTGCAGAGCTTGGCAGAAGCCCCAGGATCGGCGCATGTGGTGACATGGTAATTGGAGCTTCCGGCACACCCAGAAGAGAAAAGGAGGAGGAGGGCGGAGAGAAGAGAAGGTATAAAAGGGGCAGAGCAAGAAGAGAAGAGGCTTTTCTTACCAAAGCAGTGAGGAGAGACAGAGCCAGTGCCCTGTTTCCAGAGGAAGGGTGAGTGAGCGAGCAGCATGTTTTCCGGGGAAGGGCAAGCGAGCAGTGTGTTTAGTGAGCGGCGTGTTTTCAGGTGAAGGGAGAGTTAGCGAGCGGCCTGTTTGGCAAGCGGCGTGTTTTCAGGTGAAGAGCAAGTGAGCTGGGCAGGAGCCCAGGATTGGCATGCACAGCTACAGCTGATCAGCGCTTCTACTGAGCCGCCTGGAAGTGCCGATCAGCTGGAGCCCAGCACTGATCCTGGCGCTTCTGCTGAGCACTCTGCAGTTTTCTTGGCAGTAACTTGCAGGATGTACTTGCAGCCCATGGACTCCCTCATGATCTGCCATCCAGGTATGAAGCTGAGCTGGTCCTGTTTAGCCTCCAAACCCTGTCAAGGCCTGCTGAGCATTACCACCTTGGACTGAGAAGCCTTTTCCCGACAAGACGCAAAGCCTTCTGGCTTCTGCTTTAATGCAATGGAGGAAGCCCCTCACTTCTCTAGATCATTGGTTCTCTCAGCAACTACTCTTGCTACTGCATTTGCTATCCTGACATTAAATCCATACTGGTCTTCCTGTAACTCCCATTACTGCTTGTCTGGTCCTTTGGCACAAGTATTCTCTTTACAATTCTTATCTTTACTGCTTGCTCTTCAAGCACTTCCCAGTTTTTCTAAAGCCTTTTTAGCTGGCCATTATCTTTCTTCTGACTGGGCCCCAGCCATTGATTTCCAGTTTGAATTTCTCTGAGGGGCATCTGCAGGTTGGGAAGCAGACAGTCAAAAAGGTTAAAGTGACTAATTTTTGTTTTGTATTTTCCTAATTTCTGCAGTTTCTCCAAGATCTTTCAGAATAATAGATGCTAGCCTGAGGAATTTACAGCCTAAAATTCAGTGCAAAGAAAACTATGGAGGAAGAGGAGAGAAGGAAAGGGAAGTACCAGAAAAAAATGCAATTACAGTATTTCAACAGAAAATGCATAATTTTATTCACCACAACATTTAGTCGTATAAAGAGAGAAGATAAAGAAATTTCCATCCCACAAACCTGCCAAATCTGCCCCTTCCCAGTAAAAAGAGTGGCTGTTGCTACATATTATGGGCCTACAGAGGGTTGTGTGTCTCTGTTTTACAAAAGCTGGATAAAAATGGTTAGAAAAAAAATCTGCAAAGATGGGCAAATATCCTTTACCATTTTGGCATGACAATAGAGTCAGGAGTGACATAGTCTTGGATTTAGGATTTGCCCTTTGTTTACTCTGCTGCCTAATTAATTTGTATCACATGCAGGGTGCTGTACAAATCCAGAATAATCCTGTTGCCCTCTTTCCCCAGAGGGTTAGCAGTCTGCATGTGAAGAGCGAAATGAAGCAGCAGGGAAGAACCGAGTTCAAGGTTATGTGTGAGCAGTGAGCATAGGGAGAAAAAGGCTGAGGTGAAAGGTTTGAAATAGGAAGGAAGGAAGAAATATTGGCTCATTAGGTTAAATTAATAGCTTTTCAGGTAAATGCAAAGGAGGTTATGAATCCAATCCATAAAAGCTCTGATTTGACTTCCAGCTGCCATGGATTAACACAGAAATGCTACATCCTCAGCTTTCCTGCCTCAGTCTCTTAAATGGACTGGTAATAATCTGCTCCGCAGGGTTGTTGGGAAGTTCTCCACCTCTTTATAGGAAGTGTTATGTCCTGAGCCTGCAAAAGCTCGGGATGTTGCATTGGTCCCTAGCATTCCAAAAACTGCCCGGGACCAGACAAAGCGGCGCCAGCCTTGTGCGCTCTGTTCGCATTGGTTGACATTGTCCGGGTTTCTGGCCATATAAAAAGGCCTGCATGCCTTTTGTTTTTGCTCGGTTGTAGAGAAGAAGAAATAAAGCGTTTGTTCAGTATCGCCATGTGTCTTCATCATTCGCACGCAAATGAAGTATACAACAGGAAGCATCACTGATAATTTCTGAATCAATATTTAGTATTTATGAGCTACAATTTGCTATTCACACGGCACTGGAAGCAGCTGATAAAACAGCTTTCAAGCACCAAACTGCAAACACAGTGAAAGGCATGATACATCTCAAA